CCCTGTAACCACCACCTTCTTCTGAGAGTCTAGACTTCTAGATACTGACATTTCAAAACTATTTTAAGCAAAATGTGAGTTATACTGAATTAAACTGGTTTCTTCACAGCTCCCAACCTGAAAGGGCCACCACCTTTTTTACTTTCTTTCAGGTGACAGCCAAAAAAAAAAAGGTCAGGTTCTGCCTCTACCCTTTTGCCCAAATATTAGGGGGCCAGAGGTCGCCCATCCTCCTCCTTCAGCAAGCTGCTCTTACTTAATTGAATACCTCTGGCTTCCTGATCGGCCGTGAATTGCGAATCTATACCGGCAGACAGCTTGCCAGGCCTGGAGAATGTGAGGGTGCTGGCACGCACCCCAGAGATCTGGAGCTTTTTAAAGCCGAGGGTGTAATGTGGTGAGGCTGTTCTCCCTGTTATTTTCCAGAATTGTATGACTCTTTAGGCTGCTGTGATGGTGGGTGGGTCCCTCCCTCCGTCAGGGAGGGTGAGAGAAGAGCGGGGGAGTTGGTGCCTGCTGGCGTTGGGAGGAGGCGAGAGCGCAGCGGAGGGGGGCAGGGACTGTGTGCCCCCCCACCCCCCACCCTCAGAGCCCAGCTACTGCTCTGGGGATTTTGGGCAGTTGTTTGTGGCCCACTGGGGTTGCAGTGTGAGTGTGTGGGTGGGGAGAAGTCAGGGGGTTGCAGTGTGTGTGTACGTGTGCGTGTGCGTGTGTGTGTGTGTGTGGCCCACTGGGGTTGCAGTGTGAGTGTGTGGGTGGGGAGAAGTCAGGGGGTTGCAGTGTGTGTGTACGTGTGCGTGTGCGTGCGTGTGTGTGTGTGTGTGTGGCCCACTGGGGTTGCAGTGTGAGTGTGTGGGTGGGGAGAAGTCGGGGTTGCAGTGTGTGTGTGTGTGTGTGTGGTGGGGGGGGCCCACTGGGGTTGCAGTTCGTGTATGTGGGGGGGAGGGGCAGGTCTGGGGTTGCAGCGTGCGTGTGTGGGCAGGAGGGGTTCTGGGTTTCTGTGTGTGTGTATGTGTGTGTGTGTGTGCCCCCCCCCACTGGTATTGCAGTGCGTTTGGGGGGGGGCGCAGGTTGCAGCGTGTGTGTGCATGCATGTGTGTGAGCACATGTGTGTATGCATGTGCATTGTGTGTGTGCGTGCGTGTGTGCGCATGTGTGGGGCTGCTGCATGCTGTGAGGCACTGGCACGCCACACTCTGGGCCTGCCTTTGCCCGTTTCCATCCGTGGGGCCTTGCTTAGCGACTGTCCCTCGGCCTCGGTCTCCCCTCTGTCGGGCGAGGCTGCCCCTGCCCCTCAGCTTACTGTGGGGGCAGACGGGCCCGGGAAGTGCCGCCTGTGAGCTCTGTGGCCTCTTTCGCCTTCTGCACAGAGGGCGCTTCTGCGGGGTTCATAGTGCCCTGCGTGTGAGTGTGTGTGTGTGCGTATGTGTGTGTGTGTGTGCGTGTGTGGGGGCTGCATCCAGCCCCTGCCCGTCCTCCCCATCTGGACAGACATAGTGTCCTCTCAGGTTCCCGGTGGCCTTCTCTCTCCTTCACCCACCCCTCAACAGCCCTGTACGGCTGGTGTTAACCTGCCCATAGGACAGGTGGGGAATGGCCCTCTGGGAGCTGGCCACATGCTCACCAGCTGGCCGGCCATGGAGGTGCCTGGACTCGAGCCTGGCTCAGTCTGACCCCACAGGGCACGCTCTCCCCCATCTCTGAGTGGTGGGAAGGAATCCCGCAAGGGAGGCTGACTTCAGGATTCGGAGCACACAGTGGACGAGGGGGTATATTCACATTCTCTCTAGCCAGACGGTGCTGTCCTCTGAAGGGCTCAGAGGAGTCTGGTTCTGGTGCGGGGCAGGGGTCTCAGGTGCGCAGGACCTGCCTGCAGAGAGACAGTGCAGCGCCTGGCCTGCCCCGGGCAGTCTTGCGGGAGTGTTTGCGTTGCTGTTGCAGTCCAGGCGACGGGCAGCTCAGCCCTTTGCAGTCAGCGTCGAAACGTTGAATCAGCAAGTGAGTGTTCAAGCCCAGGGCTGCTGAGCAGACAGCAGGTGGTTGGGGAGAAGGTCAGAGTGTGCGGGGGACAGAAGTGGTGATTTGGTCCTCTCGAACTCCAAGGAAGCCCCTTGGGATGCTCTGAAGAGCCTGCCCAGCCAGGCACATTTCCAGCGTGGGAGCATTTGGAGTGGGGCTGGCTTGGGAAGCGCGCGTCAAACCCTGTTCTCTCCCCCAAAGCTTGGTGAAGGCAGAGGGCAGAGCCTCTAGTGCGGTTCTGATGGTGGGAGTTACTTTAGTGACGGGGGTTGTGGCTTCTGATTGTGAAGCTGCAGGGAAGCTCCTGGGTTTCCAGGGAGGGCTGGAGCGTGCGAGGGGAAGGTTGGGCTGGACGCCAGCGAAGGAAGGAGAATGTTAAGTGGCTGCATGAGAGGCCCCTAGGCTTAAGGGAGGAACCAGAGAGACCAGCGGTCACTGCTGCCCATGGTGGGGCTCTCTCCCTGAGCCACATGCCAAGTTCCTTTCAGTGGCTCCTTCTAGGGTGCCAGTGCGGAGCCTCAGACCCCTGGGTGCCCCGACCCTGGCCTCCAGGCTTTACCTCTCCTGTCCCCCTGCTTCCGTGCTGGTGTTGCAGTGGACAAGACTCTGTGCCTCTCCCTCCGGTTAGGAAAAGGCCCTCGGAACACCGCTGGGCAGCTGGCGTCTTCCCGCTCTTGGGCTCCTCCCAGAGAAGGGCCTGTGAGGGCAGTGTGTCCTCCTGGAGAGCCCCCTTTCCCCTCCCTGGCCCCTGTGCCGGGGTCACTGAGGTACCTGGATCAACCCCCACCTCCCCCGGCAGCTGTCCTCCTCGTCCCTCTGCCTCCAACCTGGCTGGGGGCTGCCCAGCCACAGGTGCCGGCCAGACAGACACTGGTCCCGCCCCTACTGCCCCTGGGCCCCCCCACTGCCCTATGCTGGGGGGCTGGTGGTACGGCTGGCTCCTCGGGGTCTCGCCAGGGCTGACTTGGCCTGCTTGGCTCGAGGGCTCATGACAGGCCATTGCTGAGGGCCCTGCCTCTGCAGGGGGCTGGGGGCTGGGGGCTGGGTGGGGGTCGGGAGGAAAGGGCACCCTGGTTGTCCTGACTGGCTGCTGGTGCAGCTGGGCGCCTGTGGGGGCTGTGTGGGCCCGGGCATCTCTCTGGGTTCCTGCTGGAGGGAGAGCAGGGCCTGGCTCTGGTGACCGGCAGGAAGGAGGCGTGTTTGCTGGGGGTCAGGAGTCCGGGGGCCGCCGTGGCGGGAGGAAGGAAGGCCGAACTCTGGCCTGGCACTGTGAACACTGCATGCTGCCCGGGAGGGTGGGCGCCGGCCCTGTGTCCTTCCGCCCAACGGGGCTCAGGAAGGCTGGTCTCCTGGCTGGGGCACTTGTTTTTCTTGACTGGTCACGTTATCTGAGGGTTCCCAACAACAGCATCAAATGTTTTTCCCACAGGTTCTCATCTTTTTTTTTTTCCCCTTCCCCTCTTAAGTTTGTGTGTTGGGAGCCTGAAGGCCATAGCTGAGGGTGGTGGTGGTAGTGGTGGGCATTGGAGACCCTGAGGAATTAAAGGGACTGAATTCTTGGGGGAACTTGCAGGGGGCCCAATTGGGGCAGGCCAGAGTGCGGGGGTCCCTCCGCCCCTCCTCTGCCCCTCTCCCTGTGCAGGGGGCCCCCGAGATGCCAGGAGGACCCGTGCAGAAGCAGTGGAGTATGTTGTATTTCTGTGTCAATTGATGGCATGTGGAGAATCCACCCGAGGCTTCTGGATGCGGGGAGTGGGGGGGAGGGGGGATCTTAGGGGCTGGGGTTCAGCTCCGCCGCTGCTGATGCTCTGGGCAACTCAGATTATTTGATCTCTTTTTAAAAGCTTTAACAGAAATGAAACTTCCCTTTTAGCCTACCCGGGCCTGCCTGCTCCTCTGTGGCCCACTCACCGCTGGCCCTTGTCCTCCAGAGTCCCATAGCTCCTGTGCTCTCAGTGCAGTCCTGCCTCTCTCCCCGCCTCTCCCCTGCAGGCCACTGCGTTCCCTACATCCAGGCTCTCCATTTTCATTCCAGTTATCTGTTTGCCTCAGGAGATTAGAGCTGCATTCTTCAGCCTTTTACCCTGCAGATCCTCACCTGTCCCGCCCACATAAAGCCCATGGTGGGCCCCTGGCTTTCAGCCTTTCTCCGCCTGTGGACTGGTGGTTGCAGACACAGCTCGAGATCTCTGAGACATCTTCTAGGCCCCTCTCTCTGGGGATCACGCCCAGTGGGACGGGCCTGGCCCCATCGGCTCATGCACAAGGCTTGAGGTCACAAGGGGGGTGCTTTAAGCCACCGAGTCATCTTCTGGGCCCTCCTCTTGTTCTCTGTAGAGTGTGTGAGTGCATGTGTGCACGTGTGTGCGCGCGCACGTGTGTGTGTGTGTGTGTGTGTGTGTATGTGAGAGAGAGAGAGAGAGAGAGAGAGAGAGAGAGAGAGAGAGAGACCTTTTCTCGCATTCCCTGTCTCTGTGTAGTGACCCCATAATGTCTTCTGGTGGCTCAGTGAGGGGCTGTGTTGTGACTGTGCCTTAGTCACCCTCACGATGCTGTCCAGAGGGACCGCTAGCCCCGTGGCCGGTTTCCTGGGTTCTCTGGGGAGCGTGGTCTCCAGTCTCGCTGCTCACTGTCTGCCTCCTGAGGTCACTTGGCTGAGTGGGAAGAAATGAAGCCCCTTCTCCCGCCTGTGCCTGCCCTGTCGATCATTCACAGCCGAGATCTTGCTTCTTGGTGGGCTTTGTGCTCTGCTGCCTCCAGTGGGAATGGGGGTCTCACCTGGTCCCAGAGTGTGGAGTTTGGGGTGCACTGTTCAGGACTGACTGCCCCTGCAGAGAGGTCCTGTGGAGTGTGTGCGTGGGTTATGCAGCTGCTGTCCTTGGCAGCCTGTGAAGGGCCGGGGTGGGGGCACGTGAGTGTGGCTGGGAGCGGCAGGCCTATGTGGGGCTGGGGCTCACTGTCCTTGGCTCTCTGGCTTCCAGGTGACCCTGCCCATGTGGCTGTCCTCAACCAAGGTCTCCTCACTCACGGACAGAATTGAGAGGCTGTCGGAGGCCAAGGACCTGAAGAAGCTGCTCAGAACCCGGAACAATCTGCTGGTACTCTACTCCAAGGCGGGTGAGTGGCCACTGTGTCCTCAGGGGGTGAGGAGGGGGCACGATGATTCCTTTTGGGGGTCCCGGCAAGGGGCCGTGGCTCACTTTTGCCGGTGTTTCTTGGGGGCCGAGGGTGTGGGGGGGAGGGGACAGGCAGGATGGCCTGGGCAGGGCTGTGCTGGCTTCTGGACAGGCCCGGCCTGACCTTCTGTGGCTGGGTTGGTGTATCCGCTGGGATGGCCAGTCACCGCTCGGTCGGTCTCGGGCTTGGGGGCAAGACCCCTGGCTGGCCCCAGGCGTCAGGAGCAGAGGGCAGTGGCTGCCTCACTGATCTTGGGGCTGGCCCTCGAGGGTGTGGGGCTTGGCTCTGTGCCGAGACTGGGCGGGCCAGATGTCTAGCGGCTGAATGGCTTTAGCGGTGCTGAGTGATCTCACCAATCCTGGGATGCTGGGGGTGCCGGGCACCCCCGCCCCCAGCCGCCCCCACTGTGCGGGACTGGTGGGGCTTCAGGCAGGGACAGCCGTATCACCACCGTGTCCTCCCAGCCCAGCCCCCAGCACATACTGCGCCACCCCTGCTCCTGAGGGTGGTTGGTGGGAGCCCCTCTCCCCACCCCCAGGGTGCAACTCAGGGTTCTCTGCTGTCAGAAACGGGAGGGAATGGGAGGGAATGGGAGGAAGACCCAGGAGGGAGAAGCAGAGCTGCCTCAGGCCTAGGAGGGCTGCTGGGTGTCCCAAGGGGGCTCAGAGTGTGTGTGTGTGTGTGTGTGTGTGTGTGTGTGTGTGTGTCTTGGGAGACACTGCCCTGGGCTTCCGAGCAGTGCCCCTTAATGTCCTTTCTCCCCTCCCCAGCCCCCAAGCCTTCCCAGCCTGCCTTCCCCTGCTCCGCTGAGAGACGGGTTGGGTGGGGGGTGCCCGGGTGGAGCCCCGCCCTCGCCCTTCCTGTGACTCGGGGCACCCCACGGGGCCTCCACTGGCAGCTCAGACTCTGATGGGTTTTGTTCACGGCGGAGAAAGTCTCGGCATGCTTTGAGCTTGACAGACAGCTGTCGTTCTCCGCTGTGAGGGGGCATCTCGGGGGTGCGTGCCTCAGACCTGCCTTTCTGCTTCTGTGTGGAGTGTGGTGGTGGTTCAGGCAGGGGGTTCAGGCAGGGGACGCAGCAGACTGCGCTCTCCACTGGCACCTCCCGGGAACTCAAGGGTGTGGGAGCCCCAGGGCCTTGGCGCCCCCTGCCCCCACCCTCCCACAGTGCATTGTTTTTTTTACTATTTAAATTTTTTGCTATTTTATATTTTTTAATGGAACACAGCTACAAAGTTGTTGGTGACTGGATTTCAGCCATGCAGTGTTCCGACACCGTCCCTCACCCTGGTGCTTCCGGATGCTGCCCCTGCCCACAGCACGAACCTGGCTACCACACCCTGCCTGAGGCGGGCCCCCTTTCTGTAGCTGAGAGGGCTTCCCCCTTCCTGGGGAGTGAAGTGTCAGTGCTGTTCCCTCGGGGCTGGTCAGTGAGGCCGGGATTCCCGCAGACAGTGAGGGTGCCTTGTGAGGTCTGTCGGCGGAGTGGGTGGGGGCACGGGGTGCCGTCCTGCAGGGAGCCAGGTGGGTCTCGGGCGCGGAACCTGCTTCTCCAGAGGCCACCCTCACACCCAATCCCCTGCTTCTCTTTCCCAGAAGCTGCCCCTGACAGTCTGCTCAGCCTGCTGTCCACCGTGGCCCAGGCAGTGAAGGGGCAAGGCACCATCTGCTGGGTGGACTGCAGGTACGTCTCGGCACGTGGGCACTGAGCGGGGGAGTGGCCCTCGGTGAGTCTTTGGGGAAGCAGAGATGATGAAGAAACTGCGCAGGAAGACCCCTGGAAAATGGCCCCTCGGGGGGGGGGGCAGGGTCTACCTCCCTCTTGTTCCTTCCAGCGCCTCTCCCGTTCCCCCCATCCCATTTCTCCCCCTTTTCCCATCAAGCTTTTTCATTTATTTATTTTTTGCTTTTTGGGTCACACCCGGCGACGCTCAGGGGTTCCTCCTGGCTCTGCACTCAAGGAACTACTCCTGGGGGTGCTCAGGGGACCATATGGGATGCTGGGAGTCGAACCCAGGTCGGCTGCATGCCAGGAAAATGCCCACCCCCCACCCCCCAACTGAGCTTTTTACTCTGAAATCATGTTCTACTCAGTTTTTGTCTTTGCCTGTCAGAAACTGGGTAGGCAGCAGAGGGGCTTTGCTGTTGGACAGGGGGCCATATGCCCAGGGTGGTGAGGTGCTTTGCAGCAACACTGGTGCGGGGGGCTGTTTTCTCTCAGCCAGCCATTAGGCACGAGGGCCGTCATGGTGGAGCGAGCTGGCCAAGCCCGTCTGCGCTGGGCAGGTGGCTTGGTCTTCCTAACGTTCTGTCTGGGCCCGTCGCCCCTCCAGCCTTTCTCCTTTTTTTAAAAATTTTTATTAGTGAACAGTCTTTCTCCTTGTATGGGTGGGCGCTTCCCCAAGCCCAGTGGCCGCCTTGTCGGGTAAGGGAGGACGAGCCTGGCTGGCCCCTGGCAGCACTGCTCAGGTGGGCATCCCTGCACTGCTCCTCCCTGGTCTGCTCTGCTCCCACTGCTTGCGGGCGACGGGAGCCCTGACTTCCACCTCTCCCCACTCGGCTTGCCCGGGCGGGCACCCACGCACACACACGCCCGCTTTGCCTGAGCCCCTCTCACCCCTGGGCAGGGAGTGTGCAGAGGGAAGGAGCTTGGGCGTCTGTTGGCCCTTTACCGAGGTTCCCGCTTGCCGGATTCTCCTCTGCCTGCTGGGTCATGGGACAGCAAGGGGTGTCCAGAACCCGGGGCCTGGGTCCTTCTCACGTGGGCCTGGAGTCTCTCAGGAGTGTGGTCTGGGCAGTGGAGGGTGCGAAGGGACGCTCCATGGGAAATGGACCATGAAGGAGAGTGGCAGCCCCCCGCTGAGGCTGTGAGTACTGTGGCGCCTCTCTCAGCTGGCTTCCTCCTCTTCAGCAGGAACTCTGGACGGAGGCTTTGCAAAGGGGCATAGCTGGGCAAAGCTGCCGTGTGTGCTCCCAGCTCATCTACCTGTGACTGAAGGACTTTTGTATTTTTTTTTTCTTTTTGGGTCACACCCGGCTTTGCACAGGGGTTACTCCTGGCTCTGCACTCAGGAATTACTCCTGGTGGTGCTCAGGAGACCATATGGGATGCTGGGAATCGAACCCGGGTCGGTTGCGTGCAAGGCAAATGCCCTACCTGCTATGCCATCACTCTAGCCCCAGGACTTTTGTATTTGTTCAAATGCTGAAAGTGACCGGGTGTTTTAGTTGGGCTGTGTGTGTGTGTGTGTGTGTGTGTGTGTGTGTGTGTCAAAGCCAAAGGCAAGGAAGGGAGGAAAAGAAACAATCCAGTCAGAGAGGAGAAAGCCCAATGGGGAGGCAAGAAGCAAGAGCCTGGAAAGACACGAGCAGAGGAGCAGAGAGCAGCACCGCTCAGAGGGCGGCTGGGACGGCCCTGTCGACAGCGGCCAGAGGGGGGGACAGAGAGAGAGAGAGAGAGAGAGAGAGAGAGAGAGAGAGAGAGAGAGAGAGCAGCTCCCAGCCCAGCCCAGCCCAGCCCAGCCCCGGACGCTGTCTGTCCGAGGGAGGTCGAGAGAGAAGCAGCAGAGACTCAGAACCCGCTGCCTCCCTTACCCGGGCCTGCCTGGGGGTTTGACGGCCTGGCTCCCACAGAGGACTCAGTGCCCCTGAGGGTGCATGTGGTGACCCCTGACCTGCCCCGGAAACCTAGGGCCTGCGCAGGCCCTCTCCTGGAGCCAGGTTCCGGGGAGATGGTGCCGCCAGCCCAAGCCCCACCGGATGGTCCTGTTTCCTGAGCCTCACGGGATCATTACAACAACCCCCCGCCCCTCCCCCGCCCCCCGCCACCCGAGAACTTCCTTCCCTTTTCTCCTGCCCACCTGCTACCTGCCGCCCTCACTGATCATCCAGGTGCAGAAAGATTTGTGAACACAGCCACACCTAACAGCAGCTTCAGGGCCTGGCCTGGCATGGAGGAGGATGAGAAGGGTAGGGCTGATGCCCAGGCCTGTGTCTTTTGTTGGGGGGAGGAGTTCACACCCACCATTGCTAAGGGGTCGCTCCTGGCTCTGTGCTCAGGAATTACTCCTGGCAGTCCTTCGGGATGTTGGAGATCAAACCCAGGAGGCCAAGGCACATGCCCTTCTGCTGTGCTGTCGCTCCAGCCCTGGCCCGTGACTTGAGGGTGACCCTGGGGCCGCCAGCCGTTGGGCAGTCTCTTTCTTGCCCTGCTTTCCGGCAAGGCTTCTCACTTACGGGCTCGTCATCTTTGTCTGCTTTCTGTCCCACCAGAGACTTGGGTCGCTGGCCAGGCAGGGCACAAGGGAAGTGGCAGCTAGGCCGTCAGTGAATCGTGCTTCTCTGGCCGCCTTGATCCTGTCAAGTCTCTGAGCTTCGGTGGCTTTTCTCCTCTTCTTGAATTTGTGTCTGTGTGCGTACATGTATGTGTATGTGTGTGCATATGTGTATGTGCATGTGTGTGTGTGTACATGTGTATGTGTACGTGTGAGTGTTGTGTGTATGTGTGCATGTGTATATGTGCATGTATACGTGTGCAAGTGCTCATGTGTTGTGTGTATGTACACACGTGCGTATGTATGTGTGTGTATGTTGCACGTGTGTGTGGGCATGAGTGTGTGTTGTGTATGTGTGTGCATGTATGTATGTGTGCATTGTGTGTGCATGAGTGTATGTTGTATGTGTGCGCTGTGTTGTGTGTGTGCATGTGTGTACATGCGTGTGTATGTGTACACACTTGCGTACACACACACACATGCCGTGGGAGAGAGTGTGGGAGGCCGCAGCTGATCTGAGAGTGCCGTCAGGCATTGTTGCCTGGCAGGGTGCCCGCTCGGGAGCCAGAGTGCAGAGGCTCCTGCCAGCAGCCACGATAGCGTCACTCACTCTCTCTGACATGGGTTATTTATAGCCCCTTGCTAAGTGCAGCTGCCGTTGGGACACTGGAGGAATGGCGGGGACAGAGCGAGCCCCAGCCTGCGGAGGGAGCGCTTCTGATGGGGTGCCCGGGAGGGTCCGGCTGAGGGTGCGGATGTAGCAGGGAGAGAGGTGACGCCCCGGGGTGGAAGGAAAAGGTTGCCCAGAGTCTCAGCACTGAAAACCGTGGGAAGGCAGCCAGGGAGCGTCAGGACTTGATGGAGCTAGGCCACGGGCTGTGGGCTCCCCGCAGAGGGGCAGAGGGACCCCTGTGCGCTCCCAGCTCTGCCCTCATGTGGGTGGGCTTGGGGGGTGGCCTTGGCCTTGCCGCCTGGGCTGTGGGAGAAGGCGGGGCTGGGGCGGGGCTGGGGATGGGAGGGACCCTCTGCTCTGTTGAGGTCCTAGAAGCTGCCTGACAGGGAGTGGCCATGCATGGGCTGCTGGGCTGAGCCTTGGGCAGTCGGAGCAGCCGCTGCAGGTGCAGTTTGTGGGCCCCTTGACAGCCCTATGGGGCCAGGGAGGGGCCGAGGGAGGGTCTGAGGGAAGCTTGCGGACCCCCAGGGCCTGCTTCCTGCCCAGGCATCTTTGTTGCCACGGTGGGGTGGACGGCAGTCAGCTGTAGGGAGAGCTGAGCACGCAGGACAGAGTCAGATGAGGAGCTGGCCTGGTGGGTTTCCTCGTCCTCCTCAGACACCCCTGCTCCCCTTCCCCAGTGGTGCGGTGCCCCACCCCACCTATACCCCTACCTATCCTCGCTGACCTCGCAGGACAGCGTCCCGCAGTGCTCCAGGGGAGGCCACTCTCCTGCGCCCAGTGCCCACTGCTTCCAGGCCCAGCTCCCCGCACACTCTCTGGCCTCTCCCTGCCTTCTTCCTTCTTAGAGGGACCACACCAGACCCTGGCCGTTCGGGACCAGTGCTAGCAGAACTCGGCCCATTGGGTCAGCAGTGCTTAGGCCAGTGCTCCTTGGGGGCCAGCAGGGGCTGTCTTGTGTCCATCATGGCCATGCTGGGGGCCACCAGCACCACACCCAGAGGTGCTGCCATATGGGCTTCCCTGGCAGTGTCTGGGGTCCAGCTCGGGGCCTTGCGCCCCTGAGACATGTGTTCTAGCCCTTGTCTCCCCAACCCTGGGGGCCCCCGTCTCCAAGGCCTTCCTTTCCCAGCCCACACCCCGCCTCGGGCATGCTTCCTGAGTGGCATGTTTCCATGCAGTGTGCCAGTCTGTGGGTGACAGATGCTTTTGGAACCCAAGTGAGGTGGCCTGCCAAGTGCCCAGGCCGCGAGCCGGTGGCAACGACAAACAGGGGACACAAGATTTGCTGTCGCCCCTGTCCGGACAGTGTCTGAGACTGGGCGAGCAGGCAGGAGCAGGAGGGGTTGAGGGAGGGACAGCCTCCACTGGCGGGGGGGCGGGGACAGGGTTGAGGTGGGAACCAGGGTCACCCGGAAGGCCCACATGGCACACTTTTTGCGGGTGCCTCAGTTTTGGGTCCGTGGGCTTGTGGGCCTGCGGGTCGGCGCTTGCGGTTCGCTGAGAGCCTTGGTCTGAGGAGGGAACCAGGGGTGTACACTCAGGCGCCACACAGTTTTTCCAGCACCCTTGGGGGCTGCGACTGTGGAGGCTGGGGGCATCCCTTCCCTTCTCCCTTGGTTGGCTTCTGTCTAGCTTAACTTGATGTTTGAATTGGGGCAGTTTGGGGTGCACAGCCGGGAGGGCTGAGCTCTGGGTCGACACCTGCTCTGCCTCCTTTCTGGCTCTCTGGTTTCTTCAGCGCCATCGGGTGGTTTCCTCTTACTCTGCTCAGAAGCTTTTTTAGCAGGTGATGCCGTGAAGGCCCCAGAGATGCCGAAGCCCTGGCAGGGGAGGTCAGAACCACTGACGTCATTGCCGGGAGGCGGGGAATTGGGATTTTTGTGAATTGGCCCAGGTGGTTCCCAGGGGCCGTCCTGGAGTCTCCAGTATGAACCCGTGGCCTGGACAAAGTGTAGTTTTCCTCTTGGCTGTCCTATGCCTCAGCTCCCAAAGGACCTTGGTCTGCCCCTTTCTAGGGGATGCCTCCTCCCCTCTGCCCATCCCTGCCTTTCTTGGTTGGCCCTTAGCTCAGGGGTCACCCCACTTGGCCCAGTTCCTGGGGAGCTGGCCCTGCGAGGCCCTGCCTAGAGCCGATGCTCCCCTTAGGAGCGTTCCAGCTGCCCCGCTCAGCTGACCTGTGCATTCTACTCTATCAGAACCTTGGGGAACAAATGGTTCCTGATGTTTCTACCTTTCAGTGACGCAGAGAGTAGAAAATTGTGCAAGAAAATGAAAATTGACCCAAGTTCAAAGGACAAAAAGGTGGAGCTACTCCATTACCTGTAAGTACACAGGCACTTCCTGCTTCCAGCCGAGCGCTGAAATATTCTGTGGGTTTTCTTGGGGAACAGGGATTTTTAAGTTAAATAAATTTTTTTCAGAAACGATTTCTGCCCCCCCCCCCCAGTTGTTTGTTTTAAACCACTAGTTCTTAAAAAGAAAATCCTGGGCTATAGAATTTAATTCCTGAATTGTACTAAGCTGCCAGGGGTATTGGGGGTACAGGTGTGTATGACCACGCTGACACTCGCCCTGTTTCCTCCTTGTATGGCAGAGACGGCGTCTTTCACATGGAGTATAACAGGCCTATGACGCTAAAGGTAATGTGCCAGCCTCCTCCACGCCGCGCAGCGCACACAGACATAACACACGTGCACACACACATCTGTGCACACACGCACATGCACACAGACACACACATACACACGCATGCAGGCACATATACACACACATGCGTTTAGCTCCTGCTGGCTGGGCTTGCTGAGGGCCAGAGTGCAACACTGTTGCCTGCCAGGCTCTTCTGCAGGGTCTAAGGGATTCTTCTCTCTGGAGCAGAATCTTGAGAACCACGGGGCAACCCGAAGGGCGGGAGAGAAGCAGTGGGCTGTCAGCCTGGTGGTGGTGGGGGGGGGTTGCCATGGGCATCGAGTGTGGCCCTGCTTGGAGCCGCAGAGTTGAAGCCAGTGCAGACATGTCAGTGAGGGCCAGTGTGGCAGTCCTGGGCCTGTTGGTGTCCTGCCCGGGGACCCCCACCCCCGCACTCGGTCTCTCCCGGAGGCCGCGTCCTGCGTGGCTGGCCACCCGTGTTCCTGCTGCTCTCTCGCCGTGCGTCCTTTCACCTGCATCCTGCCACCTGCCCCCTCCCGGTTTCCCCTGGCTTCTCTGTACTCTGCATCCCCTTTCTGTTTCACTCCTGCCCGCCCCTCGCTTCCTGTTGTTCCACTAACACTCACACACTCATTCTGTTCGTTCTTTCCAGTTGATCAGCCCTGAATCGGTGACAGAGTCATTCATGACTGAGTTGTAGGCATGGTGTTCCAACATGAGTCCTTCTGCCTGGGTCCGCTTCCCTCAGCCCAGGTCCCCAGTTTCTCTCCCGTCCCCTGGCTGGCCTCTGTGGCAGGCACCTTTTCCTTTTTGGGGGAAAAAGGTGTTGTGTTTCACCTGCTGTTGCTAATGGGGTATCAGGCCTGGTACTTGGCCTCCTTCAGCACCGCATCCTGGTCCAAAGTGACCACTCCCCTCTGCTGCTGTCCTGTGCCCCTTCCCTGCCTTCTCTCCTGCCCCCGCCGTGCCAGGCCTCTTCCTAAGGACAGTTCTCCGGCTCTTCCTTCCATTCCACTCTCTCAGTGGCAGCAGGCTTTGCCACCCGCTCCGAGAGGCCCGGTCACTCACCATCCACACCCACTGAGGCAGTCCCGAGCAGCCACCCCAGCTCGGGTGGCTTAGCCTCTCCTTCCTCAGACGGGATGCGCGCTCCACGGCGAGGCGGGGACAGGCTGGCTGCTTGGGGATGGGAAGCAGGGGCGGGGGTGGACGCCTTGGCTTCCCTTTGGGGTGGCCGCGCTCTGAGGAGCCTGGCCTGGATCCTGGAGCAGCCCCTGCAGCCCCTCAGGACTCGAGTTGCAGAGAAATCTACCGTCTGGGAGTCCTGCAGCTCATTAGGGGTGACTCCAGAGATGACCCGCTGGCTCCAGAGATGACCTTGCTGCGTCCTTCCCTGGGGTTCCCCAAGAGTGACCAGAATGTGACTGGTCCCAAACCAGGGGAGTTTGCGAGGCAGCAAGCAGGTCCCTCATAAGTCGGTGGGTTGCTTGGGGGTGGGGCCGCGTGAAGGTGGAGTAGTGACTCCGTGAGACTTGTGAGCGACCTTTATTCGGAGAGAACAGGGGAGCCTCTTGGAGGAGGGGGTGTTGGGGGGGTGTGAATGTGCTCTGGCTTGAAGAAGCAACATTTCTCATTTCCTCTTTCTGCCCATGAAGATGCATGGCAGAGGAGGCCCAGCTGGCCAGGGTGAGGTGCAGTGTTGGGGTTCATGCAGGTGGTGCTCCCTGCAGCCCCTTCCTCACAGTTGGGGCCCCCTGCCGGGAGTGGGCAAGTTCCTGAGCCCTTCACCCACCCGTCTTTCTCCCCAGCTCAACCCCGCTTTCTTTCTTTCCTCTTCCTTCGCAGTCCATGGTGGCCTTTATGAAGGACCCCAAAGGGCCCCCTCTGTGGGAAGAAGACCCTGGAGCCAAAGACGTGGTACACATCGACAGCGAGAAGGTAAGGTCTGTCCATCGCCCTCACTGCCTACCTCTGGGCTTTTTTTTTTTTTTTGCTTTTGCTTTTTGGGTCACACCCAGCGATGCACAGGAGTCCCTCCTGGCTCTTGCACTCAGGAATTACCCCTGGCGGTGCTCGGGGGACCTTATGGGATGCTGGGAATAGAACCCGGGTTGGCTGAGAGCAAGGCAAACGGCCTACCCGCTGTGCTATCGCTCCAGCCACCCCCTCCTTTGTGCTTGTTCATGGAAATCCTGGATTCCACAGCCTCCCCAAGTCATGTGACCCAGCCATTACTGGGACCTGAAGGTGTGTCCTCGGTCTGCCCCTCTGAGCTGTAGTGTAACTCGGAACCAGTCATTGACCACCTTGTTTCAGTTTGCAGATTGCCCTGACCTGCCCCGTCCAGCGCGACTCCGCCCTTCCCTGTGGCTCTGTGTGCACGTGGCCATGTTCTTCTCAGGCTCTGCCCTCATGGGGGGCAGCCCACAGCACAGTTCGTCCCGGTGGTCTTCAGCCCGCTGTGCTCTCCTGCCTTGAGGTAGAAGGGCCTCTCACCCCGAGCACAGACGTCTTTTCTTTTCTCCGCCCCCTTCCCTTTGCATTCGAAATGGTCAGGTCTTAAAGAAATGCCTGCCGTGTCCATACTCTGTGGGTGGGGTTCGTGTATGGTTGCCAAGTGAGCGTGTGGAGGTTGCAAGCACCCTCTGGGCAGAGAGAATCTCGTGGGAGCTGAGCTATTGGCCGCCCTCTTTTCCTCTGAGGAAGTTTTCTGTGTCCCCTGGCACGTAGGGCTTAAAGCATCATTTTGCAAATCACACATCCACTGATAACAGATCATAAATAAATTATCTTATAACAGATCTGCAAAAACATTTTGCGATCCCAGCCCCACGTCTCGGCCCTGATGCTCACTTTAAGAAGCTAGAGGAGGGGTCCTCCTGGGGAGCAGCATGGGCAGGACGGGCAATGCCAGGAGCCCCGGCACCAGGTCTGCTCGGGCCCGGGCAACCGGGCTGCTTGCTGTCCCTGGCACATTTTTGGAGAAAGGGTTTTTTCACCAGCTCACTCCAGATACTCCCGTCCTTTAAGAGTGCTCTCCGCTCACTGGAAATAGGGAGAAAACACTCCACACCTTTTGGCAATCTTCTTTCCATGGCACCATCTCCTCGTCCACCAAAGTGTGGGCAGATCCTCTCATGAAGCGGTGGAAGGTTCCAAATCCAGATTTGAGCTGCTGATTCCTAATTTTTAGGCTCATAATTCTATGCTTACAGAAAGTAATTGAGGCTCTCTGCATGGACCGCTTTGTTCCTGCTCAAGGTGTGAGATCAGATCACCGCAGGGACAGAAATCTGCCTTTCCACGTCTCTAGGTTCCAGAGCCTGGGGCTTCCAGAAGGTTGTTTTCAGGATGCTGAATCTTCTACCCCCCAAGTCAGGCCTTGACTTTGACTGTCCTGAAAGTACACCTTGCCCCCCCCTCCCAAGTCATGCAGATAAGAGTCAGCCTTTTCAGGGGCTGGAGCGATAGCACAGTGGGGAGGGCATTTGCCTTGCATGTGGCCGACCCAGGTTCGATTCCCAGCATCCCATATGGTCCCCTGAGCACCACCAAGAGTGATTCCTGAGTGCAGAGCCAGGAGTAACCCCGAAGTATCCCCTGGTGTGACCCAAAAAGCAAAAAAAAAAAGTCAGCCTTTTCAGAGTCAACCGTGACTGCTCTGCCATAAGTGTCACAAGTGTCATATTTGCGCCCATCTTTATCCACTGGACAAAGGCAAGTCGCTGATGGTCATTGTGAAAAGTGTTTAGAAAACAGCACAGGCCTTCACGGGGACAGAGGTGCCCTCACAGTCCCCCGGAGAAGAGCCACGGCTGCCCCTGCTGTGTGCCCTCCCAGGTGTTCCCTAACACGCACAAACCCTTCCACCCACACCCGTGCAAGGGCCGTCCTTCTAATATGCCGTTTTCGTAACTGGCATGCCCCCTGCACTTAACATACCGCGTGCATCTTACTGTGGCATTAACCACTGCTCTTCGCGGAGCTAATGAAGGAGCAGCGTTCCGTTGTGTGGGATGTCATTTATTGTGTCATTTATTCACCCCAGTCTGGCTGCTGCGGGGGAAAGCTGCATTCCAAAATTCGCTCCTGTTTTTCTTGTTCAAAAGAGCAAATTTGTTTTGTGGAAATGGGTTACAGGAGCTTTACTAAATCAAAACATGTTTGTTCTGCCTTGGTGCAGGCAGTCACTTCGTTGCAGGTAGATCCGCTTTCAGCATTGTGCTGGCTCTCAGGGAAAGACGTCCCCTAGCTCACGCTGCCTGAAGTCTCTCTGCTGACCCTACCACGACCATTTGAATTGCACGTCTGTTGTATTTATTCTAAAGATGTGTGATGCCCAGGAACACACCAGGCACCATTCACAGGGCTTTACAGACCCAAGTGATGCACAGAAGGAGAGCCATAGGGTCTGGTGGGTGAGGTGGAGCCTCCCGCCACTCCCGTGCCCAGCATCTCCTGGCACCACCCTGTCCTGGGGCCCACCAGGCCTCCCTCCCCACAGAAAATATTCCCTGTGTGGCCCAGGACTGCTCTTGGTCCCAGGACTTGGGAGCAGGAGGTAAAACCCGGGTGGAGCTTGCCTGGGATGCATCCCGTTTGAAAGCCAGTTGGCGCTCGAGCCTCTGCTCCCCACTCTGCTGTGCAGGGAGGGGCTGGAGTGGGTCGTCACCTGGCACTTCTCTTCCAGAAGGTTCTTGCAGCTCCCAACATGCCCTGACCACTGCAGGCCTCGGAATTTCTCCCCCCCCCCCCGCCCTCCCCCCTCCTCCGGGATTTCTCCAGTGCCCGCCTTGCTCTGTGCGGGTCCCTGCTGCCCGTGATTTGTGAGTGACCTGTGGCTCTCTGTTTGTGCGCAGGGCTTCAGACGGCTCCTGAAGAAGGAAGAGAAGCCTCTGCTGGTGATGTTTTATGCCCCCTGTGAGTGACCTGCTTTGGGGCCTCCAGGGTGGGGTAGCTGGGGACCCTACAGGGCACTGGGAACCGGCTGTGCCCTCACTGGGATGGTTGGGGGCAAGTGGGGGTGGGGCAGGTGGGGAATGAACCCAGAGCAGTGGTCCTTGTAACTTGAAATCTGGGTCCCCAGGACCTGTTGCTTATTGGCGAATGTTGACTGGACAGAAACACACAGGCAGGGAAAACCTGACTCTGGGGGCTTGAGGTGAGCCATTAGCCTTATCTCTCCCCAGCGCCCAGCTGAGTTACAAGATACACACAGATAGAGATCACAGTCCCTGCTCTATTTTTGGTAAAGTTAAATTGGAAACTGACTTGGCCCTAGATTGCCATGGCTCTGTGCCCTCCCATCTCTCCTCTCCCAGCAGGCAGTGGTGAGCCGGTTCCGGAGGCCCGTGTGGCCGTGGGGTGCAGACAGGCCAGGCTGGGAGAGGCTGTCCCACAGGGACCGGCCATTGCTCTAACTCCTTGTTGTTGAATGTGGTGGCCCAGCGGGCCAGACTCCTGCATCCTGCCCCTACCACTAAGGAGAGGTGATCGAGGGTCCTCTCTCGTTTTCCCTTCCATGGTGGGGTGGGTGCGGCAGGAACAGACTCCGTCCCCGTTCAGGTGTGGCCCCTGTGTGCTCTGCCTGGCGGGGTGAGGTCGGGCAGCTGTGGGTCCTGATGTGCTCGCTGGCATCTCCCAGCCTGCTTTGCGACAGTGCCCACCCACCCGGCAGAGAGCCAGGCCCGGCTGTCAGCATCCTAAGGGCAGCCGGGTCAACGGTAATGGCCACTTGGAGTGGGGAGTGGTGCTGGAGGCCGGGCTTCCTTGGCTGGGGCCCCAGGGCTTGGGGTCTTGGCCTCTCCAGAAGAAGATTGTGACCTTGGGAGACGGAGCCCCAAGATTAACCAGGCCCAAGACCTCACCGGGGACATCACAGGGTCCTCGGAAATGAAAGCTGGAAGGGCCCCCCCACCAGGTGGCCTGCATACCCCCAACCCCCATTTGGGGAGGGGGGTTGGGGCTGGGTGGTGATGGTTCCTGCAAGTGGAGGGAAGGTGAGAACTGAATGTTCCCATCCTGAGGCCTGGGCTGTCCCCTGGGGCCAGAGCCAGGAGCCTTCCAGGCCTGGCCAGCCGCCAGACACTGCATAATTGTCCTTGTTAAGGAAAGGAAAGAGGTGCGAAAACCCCCAGCCATTGTTTCTGGAGCGGGCCATTGTCTCCCTAATAGCAGTTGATGGTTCTTTGGCAGCCCCGGCGGGCTAGGTGCAGGGAAGCTCTCACCCCTGGGCGCTGCCCTGAATTCCTCCTGAGCCCAGCGGCATCTCTGCCTTCTCTACTGTGTGACCCTAGCCAACCCCGTGTTCCCCGGCACCCTGCTGTCCTGGGCAGTGGGGATGGGTAGGGGCAGCCCGCTGGGGCTGAGGCTGGGGCTGGGGCTGGGGCTGGGTCTGGGGCTTGGGGCTCTGCTCTCTCTATCCCCGGATAGGAGGCGGGCTGGGCACTTGTTAGGGAGAGGCCCGGTGTCCTCCCCACCCCACCCTAACTGCGATGTTCCCCCTGCCCTTGCCTAGGGTGTCCCAAGTGCAAGAGGATGAAGCTGCCTTTCCAGCAGGCTGCGACGATGACCCGAGGCCGCTATGTGAGTGGGTGCTGCCGGCCTGGCGGCTCTCTGCACCCCTCTCCATGGAGAAGTGGGGGAGAGGGGACCGGGGAGGGGGCAGCTTCCCCCGTGCCGCCTGCCCCACCCCCCCCCCCGGGGCCAGTGACTGTGGACACTCCCCTGAGCTGCCATGCCCAGGTTGGCACCTGTCAGAAGCCAGTGAGGAAGTAGCCGGGAAGCCAGCGGGAAGCGCAGGAGGTGCAGCCCGCAGGAGGCCCCAGGAGGCCGCGGTGCAGGATGGGGCCTGGAGTGGGCAGTCGGGTGGGGCCGGCAGCACAGGTCTGCGGGGACCCGCCCCTGCCCCTCCACAGAAACTGCGTGTGTAGGGGAGTGTGGAGGAGCCTGAGTTGGGCCCCTTCCTTAGGGGAGCCCAGGGAGCAGACGGGAACAGACGGGCACCCTTCCGTAGGGGAGCCCAGGGGACAGGCGGGCACCCTTCCGTAGGGGAGCCCAGGGAGCAGACCGGTGTCCTTCCATCGGGGAGCCTAGGGGAGCTGGGTGCCCGCCCCGGGCGCAGAACTGGAGGAGGAGGTAGGAGACAGCACCTCAGGAGGTGGCTGAGGAAGTTCCCGCCCAGGAAGCCACTTTGGTTGCCATGAGAAGCAGAGATTTGACGCTTACTCTCTTGGGTGTCACTTTGCTCCAGCTTCCAGTAGGGTTGATCTCTGTGGGTGGGGCTGGCTGGCTCAATGGGCCCAGCCTGACCAAGGCACTTCTGAGATCTTAGATCTGCTGCTGGAGGTTTATGGATCAAATTAGTTGGCACCGGGTTGAGTTCAGAGTCATTTTAAAACTTAAAAAATTGTTTCTATCTCTTTGTGTGTGTACCGGGGTGGGGAGGGGTTGAGCCGGGGTCTCACGCATGCGGGGTGGGTGCCTCACCTCCGAGCTGCATTCCTGGCCATGCGGTAGCCCTGCTCTCTGCTGGGTAGGCTCAGAACCAGAGCTTCCTCACTTGACCTCATTCTGGGGCCCCGCAGGGCTGCTCGGCTCTCACTCGTGGGTCCAGTACTGCACCTAGGGATGCTGGCCCTGCGGCACGCAGGCATCATGCTGGGGGGGCTGTGCTTCACAGCTCAGGGCTTCAGTAGATGCTGTCTGTTGTGTTAAGATGGTTTTGCCTGGAGTGAAGACGTAATGACTCCCAGTGTTCAGCCTCACCTGCTCTGCCCAACTTCCAGACTCTGGGCCAGGAGGGTACGCAGCTTTGACCCTGTCAGAGCATCCCAGAATTTGGTGCCAGTTGCAGACTCCTTCTGGAAGATTCTCTGCCTCTGCTGCTCAGTATTTGCGGCCCCTCCTGCGCCCCTGTGGGTTTGTCCCTGCCAACCAGAGTCCGCCCACTTTTGCTCTGCTTCTCAGGGCACTAGGGATCACATGACACTAATGTCGTCAAGGGCAGCCAGGACAATTGGTGGGGGTCGGGGGAGAAAATAACAAGGTCTTTTTATTACACTGGCTCATCAGACCGGTGAGTCTAGGCTGTCAAGCACCTGAAACCTCCCACGAAGCCCAGGGGTCCCAGAGCCTGTTGCCATAGGGCTTTACTGCAAAGTCGTCATCCCTCTGCCTCATGCTCAGGCAGCGCCAGGACGCACGCACGTGGTGGCATCTTACAGCTATAGGGAGTTTCCTGAAAATCAGCATTTTCTTAGCTTGGAACAGGGAAGTTCATCCCAAGTGCAGATGGGGTTGACATCTTTCAAAAGCTTTCCACCCACAAGCAAAATCATCTCTTTGAAGTACAAATCGATTATAAAACCAAAGATACATATAATAAATTTCAAACATGATCCTAGCTGTGGTTTGGTGGTCTCACATGCAGGGCTGAAGTCAGGACTGGCACCCTGTGCCCGCTAGAGAGGAAATGGGCGGGTGTGGCTCCCCCTCCCTCCCCCCCCCCCCCCCCCCCCCCCGCCCATCTGCTCCACGCCTGGCCCTGTGTCCGAAGTGAAAGGGTTGTGTCCCCTGCAGAGCGTTGACTGTCAGGGCCAGAGATACGGCAGGAAGGGCCTGCGCCGGGCTGGGCTCACCTCAGCTTCCTTCCCAAGACTGGCCCTGAGAAGTGTTCAGTGTACCTGCATCCAGGGAAGAGAGAGCATGCACTAGGGCTGTGTGCTACCACCCTTTCTGATCCCAGGCACCCCACGGCCCCCAGGCTCCACTGGGAGTTGTCCTGAGTCATGCTTGGGAGATGCCACCCCCCCCAAAAAAAAAATAAAACTTTAAAAAAATTTTTTTATTCTTCAAGTATCAAGGGTGACCTGCTTCCCCGACCCCCTGCAGTTCTCTGACTTTTCTAGAAAAGTCAGTGGGCTTCTCTGTGCACAGCACAGACTTGCTGGGCAGGCCTGACTGGGCCCAGGTGTCGGTGTCTCCCCAGAGGCACCTGCGTCACCTGAACCCGCCACTTCCTTGCTCCTGTGTTTCTCACTCGAGTGGAGTGTGGTGCTTTTGTATTTTCTTTTTTAAATTAATTTATTTTTTTTTATTTTATAAAGTAGTTCACAATATCTTATTGCATTTGATATTCAAACATCAGTCCCACCACCATTACACCTTCCCTCCACCATATTTCGGATGATTCCAACCCAAACCCCAATCCCTGCCCCAAAGCAGAACCAAAATTATATAGTATTTCCCTCTGAGGTCGGTTACCTCCTAATTTGAATCCCACCAAATGTGGTGGGTAGTCTTGGAGAATGGGTAGGGTGCGTACTATGAAGTGTCTTCAAGGTCCAGGAAAAGATTCACTCATGGGTGAGGCCCAACCTGAGTGTGTGGAGAGTGGCCAGGAGCAGGGTGGCGGTTGGGTTCTGGAGGTTTTCAGCTGCTGAGGCTGGGTCCCTTAGGTGGAGAGGGGTCTCACCTGCCCCCCTCTGGAGTGCCCCGAGTGAGACAACCTGGCACAGGGTCCAACAGCATGGTTATGGTGAGTGTCATGTTATGCTCCCTTCCAGGAGAGAAGGTTATGCGATCTCTTTAACCTTTATTAAATTTTTTTCATTGAATGTCCATGAGATAGACCATTATACAGCCGCTCATGGTTGGGTTTCAGTCAGACAATGATCCAGCACCCACCCCTCCACCTGTGGCCCCTGTTTCCCTCCCACCTTCACCCAATACCCCACTCTTCACCCTAGCCTCCCTCTATGGGAGGCACTTTTCTTCCTCTCTCTCTCGCTCTCTCTCTCTCTCTCTCTCTCTCCTTTTGTGCATTATGGTTTGCAATACAGGTACTAAGAGGTCATCCTGTGTGTTCAGTGCATTCAGTATTTTTCTCGGGACGGTAAGGCTGGAGTAGCTTTTTAACTGGGTGGCAGCCTCCAGGTGTGGACGTGACTGCTGAGGCTTCTGGAATTACAGGAAAGTGGGGGGAGGTAGCCCATCCCAACCCCAAGAATGCCCAGAGATTTCAGTCACAAAACCCGCATACCTGAATTTCCAAGCAGGTTTCATCTCACTGAGGTCCGTCCTGAGATGGTGGAGTATGGCTAGAGGCATGGCAGAGGTTTTGGATTGTGGAAGCAAACAGCTGACAGGGGCTCTGCTTGGGCGGGTACCAGACTGACTCAGCCCCCTCCAGTTTACCCTGGTCTGTTTAGCCTTTTATGGGTTCAAGATTAGCTGCAGCTTTTGATCTCTTTTGAGATTTATTTATGAGTCTCTGAAGAGAGGCTGGTAGAAGAGCTTACATGGTGGCGCTGGCGTTGGTTCATGGAGTTGGCTGCCAGTGCTTCCAGGAGTGTTGGGAAGTGTGTGTGCTGGGGGGAGAGTGGGGGAGGGGAAGAGGTAACTCCGAGAAAACCTGGACATTTCAGTCAAAAAGCTGCACCTCTGAAGTTTCAGCAGGCAGATGTCTCAGTAAGGTCTGTCCTGAGATGATGGAGTCCAGCCGGACACTTGGCAGCTATTTTGGATTATGGGCGCGAACAGCAGCCAGGGGCCCTGCTTGGGCGGGCACCGGGCTGACCCCCGCCCCCAGCCTCCTGCCCCCGATTTACTCTGGCTTCTTCAGCCTCGTGAAGGTCCAAGATTAAACGTGACTTTTGATTTTTTTCAAGATTGGGTCTCTGAAGCAAGGCTGATAAATGAGCTTGTATAGCGGACCCAGAGGTGGTTTGTGGGGGTGGCTCTCACATACTAACTTTTGACTGTCTCGGGAAACTTGGTCCCGAATAGTTGGGGTCTGGCCAGAGGCACAGCAGCAATTTGGGGGTTATCAGGAGGCCTGAAGGCACTATCAGGCTGATGCACTCGCGCCCGGGTCCAGGTCACCTGCTGGGGCACTGCTTCCCATCAGGTGTGGTTTTGGGTTATTTCCTGCCCTGACTCCGTAGGGAAAGGCTTCTTGGAACATTCCCAGCCTTCCCACCCACACAGGCTCAGGGTTTTGCTCATGCAGAGCTGCTGCAGGCCCGTCTGTAGGCCAGGCTCGTGACGCAGAGGCTGCACCCTGCTCCAGCCCAGAGCCCGAGTCTCCTCATTATCCCATCGCGTGAGAGTCACGGCTGGCTGCCTGCAGCAGGGGTCACAGACACCCCCTCCCTAGCTTTGCCGGCCACTGGCCAGCCTGATGATGTCACCAGATCAGGGAGGTGGAGCTCTTGCCATTTCGTCCTCTGTTTTGCGATCACATGTATCCAGTGACTCACCGGCCTCTGTCCCACCTACTCCTGCTAGGTAATGTCCTCGCCACTGGCCGCCGCTGCCCCTCTGCCCTGCCTTGCCAGTCACTCTGTCCACAGTAAGCTTTTGAACCTAACCCAGCCTTGGCGACCTTGGCTGCGCCGGGCCACCTGGTGTGAACCACAGAGTGTGCCGTTGGTCAGTGGGACAACTTTGTGGAGCTCAGCTCTGGGGCTTTGCCCACAGGGTAGCACACTCTGGGACAGTTCTCGGCCTCAGTGTCCTTTTTTTTTTTTTTTGCTCTTTGGGTCACACCTGGCGATGCACAGGGGTTACTCCTGTCTCTTCACTCAGGAATTACTCCTGGTGGTGCTCAGGGGACCATATGGGATGCTGAGAATCGAACCTGGGTCAGCTGCGTGCAAGGCAAACGTGCTACCCGCTGTGCTATTGCTCCAGCCCTCAGTGTCCTTTTTCCATCTGTGTAGTGGGTTGATGGAGCTCACCCTGTCTGTCCTCCTGGGTTGTTGTGCAGAGGTGTCGCAGATGCGGATGGTGGGCTGCCCGAGCCCTGCGCTGCTCAGGACCCTGTCCTGCCCTTGCACTGTTCTTTCTTTTTTTCTTTTTTTAAATTGAACTTTTTTATTTGCAAAAAAAAAAGTCAACTTGATATTTTTATTAATACATAGAAACTTAACACAGCAAGAAGAAGCAGATGCTTTAATACAAAACCAGTAATATTTACTAAAGGGTAATATAAAGAGTATATTTCAAATAGACAAGGTGGAAGATTTGATAAGAAACATTATAAAAAGTGGAAAATATGAGAATAAGACTAATTTTAATTTAAGCATACTAATACTCTCAGAGAACCTGGCAGGCTACTGAGAGTATCATACCCGCCTATGTGCCTGACTAGGAACAGCTGTTAAGGTGATTAGAGGCTGCCCCAAAAGCTGCCTTCCCTCTCGGAGAGCCCGGCCAGCTTCCGAGAGTATCCCGCCCGCACGGCAGAGCGTGACAAGCTAACCGTGGCGTACTCAGTGTGTCAAAAACAGTAACAGTAACTCATTCCCCTGACCCTGAAGGAGCCCCCAATATGTCATCTGGCTACACTAGCATGTGACAGGGACGAATGGAGACGTTACTGGGCCTGCTCAAGCGAATTGATGAACAACGGGGTGTTAGTGGTAGTGATAGTGAATACTCTTGGGATGAAAAAGAAAATAAATGCCTGAAAAATTAATACAGAGATTTTGTGGCTGGAGCGATAGCACAGCGGGTAGGGCGTCTGCCTTGCACGCAGCCAACATGGCCGACCCGAGTTCGATTCCTCCCCCCCCCTCGGAGAGCCTGGCAAGCTACCGAGAGTATTCGATATGCCAGACACAGTAACAACAAAGTCTCCAATGGAGACGTTACTGGGCCCGCTCGAGCAAATCGACGATCAACGGGAGGGCCTTTACCTTACCTTTACCTTCGTGGCTCACGAAGATTGAGTTAACATAGAAAAAAAAAAACTTGCACTGTTCTTTTTACTCACACCTTGGAGCAGGGAGCTGGGCCTGCCCTGTCCCTTGGGCTCTATCCCTTAGGGGTTTTGTCTGTGTCTGTAGCTTCCACATAATGCAGTTCCCTGGAGCTTCACTTTCCCCTGAGGTCCAGCCACCTCCCACCCCCCATCTCCCCCCAGCACCCCTCTCCTCGGGCCAGACTGCACTCCACCTTACTGTCTGGATCCGTCTTCCTGTGATCCCAAACATAGGATGTCTAGCGTGAAAGCCAGAAGCTCTCCGTGGGGCAGCTCTCTGTCTCCTGCACCTCTGGTCAGCCCAGCACTGCTGCCTGCCAGACTGTTGATGCCCTCTGCGTGCATGCCCGGCCCCATCCAACACATCCTGGATGTACCCAGGGTGCCACAGGAGACCCCCAGCTCTCCTGCAGCCCCTACTGAAGTCATGCTTCCTTGGGCATAAGAGGTGGTCTCCCAAGGGACCAGCCCCTCCCTCCCCACCGCACACCTCTGCATTCTGCTGGCATCGCTCATGTCTTGGGCTGCGTCTTGCTTGTCCTCCCCTGCGTGTTTCCACTGGAGGTCTGCTGCCACCTTCCCCTGCTAGCAGCACACCGCCCCACTCACTGTGTGAAGCTGCCGTGCTTATTCCGACCCGGTCAGGTCTGTGCTCCTCCGTGACCTGAGACCAGTTTTGCCTCCTCTGGTCTCACGATCTCCAAAGAGTGTTTGGACTTGGTTGTTTTTTTTTTTGTTTTATTTTTGTTTTATTTTTTGGGGGGGGAAGGGGTCACACCTGGTGATGCTCAGGGGTTACTCCTGGCTCTGCACTCAGGAATTACTCCTGGGGGTGCTCAGGGGACCATATGGGATGCTGGGAATCGAAACGGGGTTGGCTGTGTGCAAGGCAAACGCACTACCCACTGTGTCATCACTCCAGCCCCGGACATGGTTGTTTAAAGCGCATCCGTTTTATTTAGGAGTAAATGTCGTCACAGCGGTACAGGAGATCTTCCAGAAGTCACCTCGAGGCACTGGGGTTGGGGAAGCCGACCAGGGACGTGCGATTTGCTTCACCTCTCAGGAAGGATGAACTGCAGTGGCAGCCACGGGGCGGGCCAGGGAAGGACTGCCCGCAGGTTTCTGGGAATGGCAGCAGGTGTGCGCAGCCTCCCAGGCCCGATGGGAATCGCCAGCGATGCCCTGGAGCCTTTACTTGTCTTTCTCATTTTGTCTTCTTTATGACCAGCTGAGGCGGCAGGTGAGCCGCAGAGGCCCGAGCCCACCTGTGATTGTTCCAGGATGTGCTTCTGTGGGGTGGGGAGCGGCCCGAGCCCCAGCTGCTCCCCGCTCTGGCGGGCATCCTTCCCGCACAAGTCTTGTGCTCCACTGTGGGGAGAACAAAAACTCTTGGCCCTGCAGATGACACAGCTCAGGGGGCTATGGGAAAGACATTTAACAAGCCAGGGGCCGCTGTGGTGTTGGGGTGTGGCCCTTTTCATCTGAGTTCATGGGCTCGAGGCTTGTGCCAGGAAATGACGTCGTGCAGAGGGAGAATGGGGGAGAGTAATCTGTGGAGAGTGTGCCGACCTCGGGGAGATCAATGTGTGTGTGTGTGTGTGTGTGTGTGTGTGAGAGAGAGAGAGAGAGAGAGAGAGAGAGAGAGAGAGATTAGAGATTACAGGTGGGCCGGCATTAATGGAACAGACTGCTTAATCAGCCAGGGGGTCAACACGGTGCCTTTTTACAGGGTCTGTCCAGGGCTTCTAGTAAGTTCTGTTTTAGCCTCATTTTCCTTCTGTTTCTTGCAGCATCCCAAAATGGGCAAGGGCAGAGGAAGTGTTTAGTGAGCATTTATCTTGTGCCTGCCCGGCTGGGGGCAAGTCAGCCAGAGGGCCACGCCCCGAGGTTCCCTCCCTCCCTCCCTCCGCCTCCGCTTGTGCTGTTGCTGTCCAGTTCGGGTCTTTATTTGGGGCTCACTGTGCTGGCAGCTCCTGGTGCACTCACCTCCCTGAGCAGCTCTCTGCCCGCTATCCCTGTGACTCAGCTTCTCCTTCCAGCCCCGCCCCCAGCGCCTCGGGAAGGAGGTTCCCAGGCCAGGAGCAGGGTTTCAGGGCCCTTTCTGGGGACCTTTGTATTCCAGGCGGTTCTCTGCCAGGCCCCGAGCTGCTGAAATGCTCCTTTCTGGCCTGAGGGGAGGGGTTTGTGCCGGGTGTGGGCCCCTGCAACTGGATGCCTCCGTACCTCTGCAGAGGGATGGGCGCACAGCAGGGACAGCGGGTGGGTGGACAGGCTCAGGAGATCCCGGAGACTCTGTCCTGACCAGTGTGCGCAGGAGAAGGTGGCCCCGGGTGCAGGCAGGGAGGGCCATGATGGCGTCCCCAGTGGTACCCCGCAGCTTGCCAAGGGCTGAGCAAAGCAGACTGTGCCCCACTGCAGCCTGGACTTGACCATGGTGTGTGTGTGTGTATCGGGGGTGGGGGGATGAGGCCGTGTCCCAGCACACAGGGCGGGGTGGCTGGGCGGGAGTGGACCCTGCTGTCCCCCTGCCCCCAGGTGCTGGCCGGCATGAACGTCTACCCCTCGGAGTTCGAGAGCATCAAGGAGGAGTACAGTGTGCGCGGCTATCCCACCATCTGCTATTTCGAGTAGGTTCCCGGCTCCCCTCGGGTGGGCGCGGGTGGGATTCGCCCCCCTGAGCCCTGTCCCGGGTCTTCCAGGAAGGGCCGCTTTCTGTTCCACTACGACCCCCAGGCCTCCAGCGCCGAGGACATCGTGGAGTGGCTGAAGAAGTAAGTGGGTGCTGGCCTCAGGAGGGAGGCCCCGCGGGCTCTGGCACAGGGGCTTGGGGACGTGGAGGGGGAAGGGGAGGAGGACGGGGAGGGGGAGGGGAGGATGTCAAGGGTCTGGGGTGATGCTCTCTTCTGAGCTGGGCAGCCCTTGAACTGGGGGGTGGGGTGGCTTGGGACTCTGTCTCCCTGGCTCCCTTCCCTCCCACACACCCCTCTGCCCACCAGCTCTCCCAAGAATAGCCAGGAACTTTCTGGAACCTCCTGCCATCCTGATGGTCTTTCCCTCTGACTGCGTGGGCTGCGTGGGTTTTCCCCAGGGTGTCGGGTTTGAGGGCCCCTCCTGGGTGCCCCCTGCAATGGGTGCTGCTCTCAGGGGCCCCTCCCCCGCCTCTTAGGCGTCAGGCCTTGCCATGGCTCCTCCGCCCGGGGACGCCTGTGATGAGATTGGGCCCTCGGAGTCCCGCCCCACTCTGTGGCCCTTTACTGCCCTCCCCTGCATCCCCTTGAGTGGCGGATGCCAAGGAGGCGCGGGAGGGTGGGCACCCGTTCCTGTCCTTTCCTGGAAGCAGCCCACCCCAGGCCTTCCCGGCCGGGTGCTCACCTGCTCCCATGGTCACTGGGGCACTTGGTGGCCACTCGCGCATGGACTTGTCCAGCATCAGCCAGTTTGGGGAGAACCCCTCGGAGGCTGAGACTATTCTGGGTGCTCGCCGTGAATTCCCCGGGACCCCCCAAGCAGGCCTTGTCGGAAAATGTCACCCCCCGCCCCCTGTATTATTGTTGTGTTGTGTTGTTTCAGTATTGGGTTTGGGAGCTCTGGGACTCCTGCACGCAGAGCCTGTGCTCCTTCTGCAGTGCTCTCACTCCCTGTGGTCTTCTCTCCTGGTTCCGCGAGGAGGCACCCAGCACAATGAGGAAGGATGGGCAGAGCCTGGACCACGGGCAGGGCCAGCCATCGAGGCGCGTGACCCCGTGGCAGCCCCTGGCTCTCACGCTGTTCCCCTCCTGGAGTTCTGGGTAGTTGATTGCCTCATTGCCTGAGGGACACAGGGTGAAAGGATTTGTAACCCACCCAGATGAAGATTGAAAATGTGTATTTTCAGAACGGGGAAAGAGACTAATTTTGTGTATGGAGGGAAAAAAGCCACAAGGAGCAAACAGACTAGAGGATGGAAATTTCTGTCAGGTCCTGGGCGGGAGAAACCCTGCGGCGCCACTCAGCTGAGCAGGTGCTCAGGCGTCCTCGCCTCCTTCCGTGGTCTCAGCCGGCCCCTCCCGCGTCTCTCTCCCAGTAACCCCCCTGCCCTCTCCTGCCAAGCCTTGCTCCCTCTGCTTGCAAGAGGTTCCAGCAAATAGTCTCTCGTCGGAGCAAAAACTTTGCCTGTGCCCCCCCCCCCCCTTTCTGGTTCCCAGACCCCCTGGATCATGCTGGAAGGGACAATGAGGCTCGTGCTGTTCTAAGCCTCTGAATCACTCGTTAGCCTCCGGTGTACAAGGGGAGTGTCTGAGGGGGTCTGCTAGGGCGGGCTACTGTCTCCCGCCCCACCCCACCCCTAGCCTGCCCCCTGCCCCAGCTCCTGCCCCAGCTACTGGGCATGCCCGACCTCTTGCCCGACCTCTGTCCCCTCTGTCCCCGGTGCCTCTGCCCTGCTGCTCTCCCGTCTTCCTGCGGGAAGGGCACCTGGTTGTGGGGTCACCCTGGGCAGCCGCCCTTCATTACTGGGGACTCATGAGGGGCCGCTCTTATAAAGGTGAGGCGGAGGCCAGAGAGCTGGTGCAGCGGGTCAGATAGGACAGCCAGCCGCTGTCCGATCCGCACACCCCACAGGGTCTCCTGAGCACTGTCAGGAGTGAGCCCTGAGCACAGCAGGTGTGCTTTCCCCCCCAAAAATGTGGAAGTGTAGCCTTGGGCAACCCCCGGGAAGTGGCCTTATCACCACCCCCTTCAATCCCACAGCAGAAGCCGTTGTACTGCCAAGTGGCTTAATAAAATTTTGAGGCCATTCAAATGAAATATGCTATTAAAATGCATATTATTATTCAGGGCTGGAGCGATTGCACAGCGGGTAAGGTGTTTGCTTTGCACGCGACCGACCTGGCCAACCTGGGTTCGATTCCTCCACCCCTCCCGGTGAGCCCGGCAAGCTACCGAGAGTATCTCACTCGCATGGCAAAGCCTGGCAAGCTCCCTGTGTGACGTATTCAATATGCCGAACACAGTAACAAGTGTCACAGTGGAGATGTTACTGGATCCACTCGAGAAAATCGATGAACAACGGGAGGACAGTGACAGTGATTATTATTAAGATGCTACTAAACCATCAGAAGTGCCCCCACCCAAGATAAGGCATTGTGATTCATGGGTGAGTGCTCCCTCGCCCCCAGCCGCCCTGTGTCCAGCTCTGGGGTCTCCTGGCCGCCCTGCTTGTTTGCTCCCTACCCCATGGGAGCCCCGACCCAACTCAGCGCCTTTGCCAGGCCTCTCGCACTGTTCTTGCTTAGGCGAGGCCCTTCCCATACCCGAGGAGAAGGACAGGGCCGGGACCCTCGCGCACCATGTGTGGGGGTGGGGGCGGCTCCACCCTCTGCTGGCCTGTGGGCTCACCTTGAAGGAGTATGCCCGCTGCTCCCTGCCTGCCTGGATGCTGCTACCCCCGCCTGAGTGGAAGGACACGCAGGGTTTTCTGGCCTCACGGTGCCCAGGGTTGCATCTCCTGCTCAGTAGGAACCTGCTCCTGCTGGCCACCCGCTCTGGACAGCCAGGAAGGGCAGGGCCCGGAGAGGCCGTGCGTGTGCTGGACACTCTGCCTAGCCCAGAGCCGAGGTCGCCGCTCCGTCTCACCGAGGCTGGGGTTGGGAAGCCCTGGTCTCTCAAGGCTGCCAACTTGTTGAAAGGTCCTAGATTTCGGTTCTGAAGGGCATTTGGGTGCCGCTTTGCAGATGCTTTATGTCTCGTCTCTGTGGCCTGCCCTGGTGTGCCTGAGGTGGAGAAAGCCTCCGAAAGTTTGAGTTTGTTTTTATTCCTGTTTCTGGGCTACCCCCAGCGGTGCTCAGGCCCTTCCTCCTGCTGCATGCTCAGACGTCACTGCTGGCCGTGCCGGGGATCGAACCAGGGTTGGCTGAGTGCATGGCAAGCACTTTGCCCCCCCCCCCCCCCCAGTATTCTGTTCTTCTAAGCCAAGTGAGCCAAATGGGGTGCCTCTGCCCCTCAGGCTGGCAAGGGAGCCAGTGGTGCAGGCCCTGGACTGACGAGCTGGCCTCCCCTTCCCGTGGCAGCGTGCTCTTTCCCCCACGGGGCTCAGGTGTCTGTCTCCTCTTCACGTGGGTTCTCCTCTTCGGGGCCACCCTGTGGGCAGACAACAGCAGGAAGCCCGTCCCGGTCAGTGTCGGGGCCTCTGGGCAGCTCTCGGTACCTCTCTCCTGGGCGCCCTCTGACCCATGCCGCCCTGCCACTCTGCAGAGAGCACACGGCCTGCGGTTGCCAGGTGGGCCAGGCTCCAGAGGCCAAGCCCATCCCTGTGCCTCCTGATTTGAGCCCTGGCCTAGCCCGGCTTCCCTGGGCGGCACCTCCCGTGTCGGTCCTGCCTCGCCGTCCACCTGCAGCTTGCACCCCTGAGTCCATTTCCGTGCTGCGGAAGCTGCACTGACCTGTCTTGCTCTTTTCACTGTGTTTTCTTCCCTGTTGTTTTCTGTGTGTGTGTGTGTGTGTGTGTGTGTGTGTGCGCGCGCGTGTGTATGCGTGTGTGTGTTCTACTCCTATGGTGGTTTTGGGGTGTGCGTTTTTTTTGTTGTTGTTGTTTTTCTGTGCTGCAGGAGGGATCCGGGCCTCACGTGTGCGGAGCCTACGCTCTTCCACCAGGCCCCATACTTCCCTTCCCACCTTTTCCCCCCACCGTGGTGCTGGGGGATCGCGCCCACACATGCCACCAGGCGTGTGCTCACCCGCTGAGCCTCACCCCCACCCTCCCTTCATTTTGACTAGAATTTTCTCGAGTGCGTTCACATGCTTGTGATGCTGCGGCTTCTTCGTTGTCTGTGTGTGCATGGAGAGTTTTAACAAAAATACAAGTAATTTCATTTGCACAGTGGGGGAAAAAACAGTTCTAAAAGATACTCTAAAGTCATCCCTTGAGAAGCCTCACCTGCAAGGCGCCCACCAGCCTGTTCTTGCGCCCGCGCAGACGGCAAGTGTCGCTCAGTTCCGTGGCGAGGGCGCCCACAAGTGTGGGGAGTTGCTCTTTGTCGCGTGCAGGCATGCACAGAGCACGTGTGCCATGAGCGTTGTGTGGCACCTGCTCGCTCCGCTGGGGCGTTCCACAGAGCAGTTCCTGGTCCTCCCCTGCGCTGTGCTCCGGCCTCCTGGCATGGACACGGCTGCCAACCGGAGCTCCTCCACGCATGGGTGCAGGGGCCTCTCCCTGTGAGCTGTGACCGGTTCTCAGCAGCCGGCCCCGGAGATCTTCCTCCGGCAGAGGACCTCCTGCACTGGCCTCGCAGTCTCCGTCACGTGGCGCTACTGTTACGAACACCGATGGACAAGGATTCCTCCTCATTCTGCGTGTTTTCATTTTCTGCCTTGGTGGTCCTTGAAATAGTCCTATTTTCACCAATGTTCAGGTGTTAAAAAAAAAAAGGTTGAAAACGGCAGGTCTGGAGTGAATGCCTCCGAATGCACTTGATTTGGGGGTGTAGCTGCTGTGTTGAGGAGCGAACGCTCTGTGGGGGGCTCGGCGGTGGTTTTTTGGAGGCATCGGTACCTGGGTTTCTTGGTCTTGCCCTGTGGCCGCTGCCTGGCAGTGCTGCCTCATTCCCAGGCTGGACCCTGCCCCCGGCCCGTCCAGCATTGGTCACCCTCCCTGGTGGGTGGGGCTGGGCGAGCTGCCCCCGGTTGCAGGTTCAGTTGTGGGAGCCTTGTTCTCATGACCTCCCCGTCCTAGTGACTGGGGCCTGGCCCTTCTCTGCACCGCAAGCGCCAAGGCGGCCCACGAAGGCTGTGTTTGTGCCTTTGCCATCATGGAGGGCGATTCAGAGTGGCAGTGACAGTGCTGGGCAGGGCATGTGTGGGGGACCTGTGACCGCGGCCGCCTCACCCTCACCCTTGGAGCTTGAGAGACGCAGTGGAGCTGGTGGTGGGCGCTGGGCTCTGGCAAATTTGGTGCCCAGCTCCTTCCAGCCAGACGGGCTCCTGCTGAAGCCACAGGTGACCTCTGCCCTCTGGGCGCCCTGTCGGTCAGCGCTGGACATCACCGCCCCCCTTCCTCCTATGGCTGCTCCTCTGCTGTTGCCGGCAAAGTCCCAGAGGCTGGCTGGCAACACCCCCAGCCGCCAGAGAGGGAGTGAGGGTTGCAGCAGGGCTCCAGGTACAAGTTGCCGCTGCCACTGAGCCCACACTGGGGCCTCGGGGACTGGCGGTGGCGAGGGGGGTCTGGCGTCCCCCAGGGCAGCTGCCGTGTCGGGGGGTGGCCTGGTCGGGCCTGCTCTGAGCTCTGCCTGTTTTTGGTCTTCCAGTCCGCAGCCGCCAAAGCCCCCGGTGCCCGAGCTGCCCTGGGCAGACGAGGGTGGCTCCGTTTATCACCTGACCGACGACGACTTTGACCGGTTTGTGAAGGAGCACTCCTCTGTCCTCGTCATGTTCCACGCCCCATGTGAGTGGCGCCCCGGCCCCGCCCTTCCCCCGCCCTGCCACCCCAAGGCAGGAGCGGGCACTAGCTGTCCAGGGCCCTCTGGGTGCCCGAGTGTCTGCATCTGGGCCACAGTCTGAGCCCGGCAGGCGTGAGCAGCTTCCTCCACACGGGCATGGGTTGGGAAGTGCACACAGCCCTCCCTCCCCAGAGCCCCCTGGGAACACACCCGCCCCTTGTCACCTAGGCAGGAAGCCGGCCTGCCAAGGGGGCACGGGGGCCAGGGCTGGCACTGCAGAGGCTCCCCCCAGCCCCCTGGGTAGCTCCAGTCCTTTGGCGTGGCAGCATGCGGTAGAGAATGGGCTTAGTGATGGGAGTGCCTGCCTGCGCCCAAGCAGCTCTGGGGTTCTCTGGGCCAGCGTGTCTCCCTGAGGGTTGTTGCGGCTCATCGCCTGGGGGAGAGGGATCTCCTGCACGGCGGGCGGCCGAGGGGCTGGCAGCCCCGCAGAGCCCTGGCGCTCAGGGAGGGGCTCAGCTCTTCTCTCCCGCCAGAGGAGGAGAAAACCCACGAGAGACGGCCTTTGGGACCAGCCTCAGTTGTGATGCGGTGGTGTAGACCCACCCTGGGGGTCCTCGGGTTCCCTGACCCCAGGGTTCCTCACGCTCATTGCTCGGCTGGGAGTGTGACCATCCTGTCACAGAGCATGAGACTCTCACACGCACACGCGCGCGCGCGCGCGCGCGCGCACACACACACACACACACACACACACACACTCTCTCTCTCTCTCTCTCTCCCCCCCACAGGGAAATGGCCTCTTTCCTGCTCACCCCTTCCCCCTTCCCCTGTCCCCTCACCCCAGCTCCAGAGCTTCTGAGGATGCTCAGAGGGGAACTTTTCCAGGGCGCAGCCTCTGTTTCCCGCCACTGGGTTCCCCATGACCCGGCTTCCATCTGAGCAGCGCCCGGGGCTGCGTGCGGCCTGGCCGGGAGATGGGGCGTCCCCATCTGCTCTCCGGGCTCTCACGGATGCTGACGGAGCAGGTTCCCCAAGTGGAGAGCGGGGGTGTGTTCGGCTGCTTCCCTCTCGGGAGCGTGCCCCCTCCCCTGATCCCCCCCCGGCCCCCCCCGGCCGCCCCCGCCGCCACATACACACACTTCTCCAGCTCTGCTAGAAGCACTGAGGCTGGAGCTGTGACATGGTTTGTGCCACACATCATGAGGAGTCTGTTCTCTTTGCTGACCCCTGGAATGTGTCCCAAAGCAGCGTGTCCCAGAGAGGGGGGTGGTTTAGTAGCTGTTTTCTGAGCCCTTCCCAAGGACCTTGTTTGCAAACTGCAAGTGTGTGCGTGTGTATGTGTGCGTCTATGTGTGTTTGTGTGTGTATGTGTTTGTGTGCATGCTTGTGTGTGTGCACCCGCACGTGTGTGTGCGCCCGTGTATGTGTGTATGTGTTTGTGTGCGTGTGTGTGTGTGCGCATATGTGTATGTGTGCGTGTGTGTGTTCGGGGTAGCCGATGCTTGCAGGGTCAGTGCCCTTCCGTTCCTGCCAGACTCCCCACTCGCCCCGTCACGTCTCGGGCACAGAGAAGAAAAGGAACAATGAAGCTCTGAGCACTGAACTGGAGGGTGAGCCCAGGAAACCAGCGCACACGCGCTTGTGTGCACCCACGCCTCCCGACACCTCCCCCATTTCCCTGGGCCTCGCTGTCCCAGGTCCCCGTGCTCTGCGGTGTGTGCCCGGCCAGGGCGAGAGGAGCAAGGCCAAGGCCTTCCTCTGAGGCCGGGTCCCCTTGACGGTTGACAGGGCAGAGGCGCAGAGCGGTGAGGCCCTTGCTGCAGGCCCCGCCCCGGACCCGCCCCCATTCCCTGCAGTCACTGGTCCCAGGCAGGCTTGCCCAGCCCAGAGCTCTTCCTCGGAGCAGCCCCCTCTGCCCAAGGGGCCTCTCCCTGCGCAGTGGGGGCTGCCTCCTGCCTGGTGAAGTGGCAGTCCTGGGGGGGGGGAGTCGCTTGTCTTCTCCCAGTGCTGCTCTGCGTAGGGTCTGCCACCGGCGCCGCACTGGGTGGCGGGGGGCTTCGGGTCCCACCCAGCATCACACTGCGAGCAAGCAGTCCTGCGCGTGTGCTAAGGAGAGCAACGGGGGCATCCAGGGAGGGTGTCCTGGGGGAGCAGTGGGTGCTCAGGAGCCCGCCGGGAGGGAGCTGGGGCCCAGACCCCCTGGGGAGGGAGCTCAGCTCTGCCCTGTTCCCCTTCCTGCAGGCTGCTGGGTGTGGCTGCACATTTGATGGCCCGGCCCCTCCCGCCCCAGCTTCTCTGCGTCCAGTCTGTTTCTGTACTGACCGTGAAGTGACAGGTGACTGTAGGCAGTTGAGGCTGCAGGGAGGGGGTGATGCCCAGACCCTGGGCGCCGAGAGGTGGGAGAGGGCGCAGTGCCGCCCCGCATGCTGCTAGCCCACCTGACTCCCTCCGGGAGTGATCTTGATGCAGAGCCTGGGGCGAGCCCCATGGGGTGTGCCCATGCCACCCAAAAAGCGCAGACGCTCCTTGCTACTGCCTGGGGGAGCAACTTTTCACTTTTTTTTTTTTCACTGTTCTTGCTGGTTTTATTTTCCACTTTTGCTTTCCAGTGAACACAGTTAAATCCTTTCCTCTGTTGCACGCAGAGCTGTGGCCCCTCGTGCTGTTCCATGCATCGGCCCCTTCCTCAGGGGCACTGGCTGCTTCAGACGGTGTTAGCAGCCGTCTCCTGGCAGAAGCAGAGCCAGGTGCCTTGGTCACACAGCTCCTGCCATACCACACCCCTGCTGCTCTCACCCCTGCCTCACCACACCCCTGCCTCTCTCACCCCTTCCTCACCACACCCCTGCCGCTCTCACCCCTTCCTCACCACACCCCTGCCGCTCTTACCCTGCCTCACTACATTCCTGCTGCGCTCACCTCTGCTGCTCTCACCCCTTCCTCACCACACCCCTGCTGCTCTCACACCTGCCTCACCACACCCCTGCAACGCTCAGCTCTTCCTCACCACACCCCTGCTGCTCTCATCCCTTCCTCACCACACCCCTGCTGCTCTCATCCCTTCCTCACCACACCCCTGCTGGTCTCATCCCTGCTGCCCTCACCCCTGCTGCACGACACCCCTGCCAACCCGGTCTCTGCTGCTCTGCCACGGTCACCCCTGCAGGCCCCTCTGTGCTGCTCCTGTCCCAGTGGCAGTCTTGGCCCTTTGTGTTTGACAGGAACAGAATCATCCCTGTCTGCCTTCCCATGATTTGTTTCCCGGAGATGTTTGCATGTAAATGCAGATGTTGGCGTCTGAGTCTGCCTTCATGTTTGTGACCCCTGAGAATGTTGGTGGTACAGCTGAGCCATGCTGCAAATTTTTTAAAAAATTCCAGGCACTGTGGTTTATAGCACTGTTGGTGACGGGTTCCATTCATGGCATGTTCCCGCACCCCCCCTTCAGTGCCCACTTCCCCCCACGTGCTCCCGGTGCCCCCGGCCCTCTGTCCCTCTCTCCCCTGTGATGTGTTTCTGGTGAACAGTTCCCAGTTCCTGATGCCGTTGGGCATTTCTCTCCCCTCTACTTGGTTCTCTGTAGCCCATCCAGTCCCTCTGTCTCTCTCCTGAGTAACTGCACTTCAACAGGATGTTCTCCGGGTTCCCCTCCAGCATCAGACTGCATGACTTCGCCTTCCCTTAGAGCCGAGTCGTAGTCCCTTGTGTGCATGACCTGAAGATTCCTAACCCAGTCGTCTAGTCTAGACACTTGGGTTGTTTCTGAATTTTGGCTACTGCGAACAGTGCTGCAATGAACATAGGAGGGCAGGTGTCTTTTCTCACCGGTTTTGGGGTAGATGCCAAAAAGCAGATTGCTGTGTCACAAGCTCAATTCCTAGTTTTCTGAGAAATGTCCATAATATTTGCCCAATAGGCTAGACCAGTCAGCATTCCAACAACACCGAATGAAGGTCCCTTTGCCCCCACTTCCACGCCAACATTGGTTTTGTTCTTTTAATTTATTTATTAAGTTTTTGTGGCCACACCTGGCAGTGCTCAGGGGTTACTGCTGGCTCTGCACTCAGGAATCACTCCTCTCAGTGCTCGGGACACCCGGGAAGGAACCGGATTAACCTTGTGCAAGGTAGGGCCCGACCTGCTGTACCTCTCTCTGGCTCCTGGTTGTTTTTGGTCTCTGTGGTATGTGTCTCTGCTGTGACAGGGTCTCTCATTGTTCTGTTTGCAGTTCCCTGGTGATGAGGGACGCAGAGCATTCTCTCATCTCCGTGGGCCACACAGTTCAAGCCATCCCCCTGGCACTGACTCTGCAAACAGTGCACCCCGCCACCTGTAATGCAGTGTCCTGGCCCCTCTCTGGCTGACCATGCTGCTGCAAAGTGTGCAGTATGCAGAGGGGAGCTGAGTCGAGGGGCCGCTGCCCTCCAGAAGGGCCCCTCGGCCTGTCCTGCTGTGGCCCTGTGCCTGGCAGGCTCCCAGACACGGCGCCCTTCTCTCTGTGGGCTTGCACCTTCTGGGCACCTGGGCCAGCCCCTGGGCCTGATGCTCTTTTCTGTGTCTTCGATTTACACTTTACGATTTCGCTTTATGATTTCTTCCATCGTATAAAAATGGCACATTTTTTGTGGTCCAGCAGCAGGATGTCTGCTGAGCGTGTGGCTCTGGGTCAGGTTAACTGTTCAGCGTGTTCCAGGAAGTCACTCGGTCTTCACCACGAGTTCCCGGATATCCTTGTCAGAGCATCCCCAGCTTAGGAGAGGTCAAGAGGTCAAGAACTTGCCCTAGGCCAGAGCCTGAAAGGTAGCCTCAGGGTCCAGCACGGTGTAAGCCCCGAGGCCCACTTCCCGCCAAGCCTCCCCGCCTGAGCTGGCATTTGTGGACAACGTGTCAGATCCACTCCCCAGAAAGTGAAAATGGCATCCTGCATTTCACTTGCGGCATTCTGCTTTTTTGGTGGGTTCATTCACCTGGAGTTTTCTTTTGGCTGTTGTGCCAGGTGGAAAGAAGGGACCCACTGCTATTTCTCGAAGTTCCCTCCCATGCACTGTTTTCCTGGTATTATTAAGAACACTTGGGGGGGGGGGGGGGAATGCATGCTTTTTGTGGTCACATAATATTCCATTGTATAATGGTGCCATAAATTACTTAGCCAGCACCATAATGCTGACGGTTGGAGCTGCTTACCGTATTTCCCTGTTATAAATCACCCCGCGGAGAACGTTTTCATGCATAAATATTTGTCTATGTGTCAGATAATTTCCTTAGGATAGAGGCCTGGAAGAAAAATGTTAAAAGCTTCGTATCTGCATTTTTACACTAATGCAGGGGAGCAAGTGAAGCCTGGCTCTTGCTCTGTGCCAGCGGGGGCTGTGAAGGATGGAGCCCTGGAGAGCGAGCTTGCCCCCTGTCAGCGTGGCTCAGCTCACGGGGCCTGATGCCCCTGGGCCCCTGAGACCTGGGGGCATCAGGGAGGCCGTCCTGCGGGGGCCCCTGAGACCTGGGGGTGTCAGGGAGGCCCTCCTGCCCCCAGCACAGCCTCTCCACTTCCAGAGAAGGTGGCAGACCAGGCCCTCTCGGCTCCCTCCCGGTGCCCAGGAGCCTTCCGCATGGAACTGGTGACCCGGGAACCCCAGTTCCATCTGCTGAGCTGTCAGAAAGCCCAAAGTGTAACAGATGCCCGTGGGTGTGGAGGATCTGAGGGTAGGGTGGGCAGGCAGGCACCAGGGTGTGGCTGCCAGGGGAAGGGGGCGCCTTCTGCTTGGTCCCGTCACATGCCAGCCCTGCACAGTGATAAAAACCCAGCAGGGGAGTCTGGCAGCATGGTCTGGGTGCTAGGGGCAGGGCCAGAGCTGCTCCCACACACACCAGCAGGACGTCCTGAGCCCGGCGGGGTCCTTACCACACATGCGCTGAGTGAAGCTTGTGCCTTCACCTGACTGCTGTCTTGCTCAGGGCGCGGAGGGAACTGAGGCTTGAGGAGAATGAAAGCCTTCACACTGCTGAGCTCTGGGCGCCCAGGCCAGTGCTGGAGGTTCCCACAGTGTGTCAGACCCAGCCTGGAGCAGGGGAGTAGGTTGGTAGGGGCGGGCGAGGGGGCGTCAGGCGGGGGCTGGCACGGCCGTGGGTGAAGGGGTTAGTGTGGGCTGCTGTTAGGGAGCGAGGCCTGACCCTTGCCTATGCAGAGTTCAGTCAAGCAGGGCGGAGGCCTCCGTGTGCAGGTGCAGCAGGGGCTGTGCTGCCTGGGTCTGGCCGGGTGCGTGGGGTCCCGGCGGGCGGGCAGGCGCTGCACGTGGGCTGTGTGTCTCGTGTGTGCCCTCAGTGTGCACGCCCTCCTGCGCCCTCCTGAGTGCGTTCCGCGTGTGGTCTGCGCCTGTCCTGTGCCCGGCAGTGCTGCCCAGGACATGAGGGTGGTGCCAGCGGTTTGTGGCACCAGGGAGAAAGTAGCCGGGGTCTGGACCCGTGCTTGGAGCAGGGGGGTGGGTGGGGGCTTCCATGGACTCGAGCTGAGCCGTCGGACCCCGGGGAACTGGGGCTCCCAGCAGTTAGCTGCCCAGGCCGATGCCAGAGGGGCCAGCGATGGTCCCAGTGGCTGTGGGGCCGCAGCGGGACTCGCTGGTCTGGGGCTTGTGACTCCTGAGTTTTCCCCCTTCTTTCGCATGTGGGATCTACCATCTCCCTCTCCGCCACAGCCCGGGAGGCCGGGTTTTACTCTTGGTAGCGGGCAGCCACTGGAAAGTTTCGACCAAGGGAGTTTGATGTGATTTACGATTTGGAAAGAAAAAGTCAGAAGACAGCTTTTATCATGCCACAAGGTGGGAAAAATTAAAGGCCCCCAAAATACAGGCGTGGAAATTACTTGGTGAGCGGCATGGGAAATGGACAGACTGGCAGGTCCAGTGTGAACTGGAGCCTCAGGATGAGCCATTTTGGTTTGGGGGCCGGGGTGGAGACAGAGTGCGGGGGGCAGAAGCCCCCACTGCGGTGGGCACTGGGCTATCTGGCAGGCTGTGCAACAGCCCCAGCCCGAGGGTCCACCTTCTAATCCCACCTGGGCTGCTTGTGGCATCTGCCAGGGCCTCATATCTGGCTCCCTGAGGAGGGTGTGACACCTTGACAGGGACAAGCACTTGTATTCCACCGCACAGTCCAGGAGTCCGGGGTGGGCCTGGGGGAGCCCCGGGTCGTGCTGAGAGCCAGAGAGCTCCCTGACCGCCACCCTGGGATCCGCGCCGTGCCATGATCCCAGCTCTTCCCGGAGGCACTGCTTAGTCCCTAGGACAGGCAGCAGCCCTCGGGCCTGTTCTCCGCCCCACAGGGCACTGTTGTTGTTGGCAGTGCCTCGAAGCCAGGACAGGGCAGCAGAGGGGCAGGTGTGGGACATCGCTGATGCCTGAGGGTGGCAGGTTTCTGCGCTCCCTTGGGCATTGCCCTGCCGTACCTCTCACATCCTGCTTGGGGCATGTGGGCTGGGGGAGCTGGGCAGGGGCAGGGGGGTGTTAGCGCCTGGGGCCTGCCTGGTCCCCCCACCCCACCCCCCGGCTCAGCTGGGCTGTTGGAGGCGAGAACTCTGGGGTGATGGCACATCATGGGAGGGTCCTCTGGCCTCTCTCTCTGCGTTTCTTTGTTGTTGGTGTTGTTTGTTTGTTCCTTGTTTGGGGGCACACCTGGCATGTGTCGGGGCTGCCCCCAGCTCTGCGGTGGGCCTAGCTCCACCCATGCTGCAGAAGGGCCTGGCGCGCTGAGCTCCTCTGACCCGCCGTGAAGTTCCTGCGGTCAGCCTAGTCGTCGTCCACCAGTTGTTGGATCGTGCCTGTCCCTTTCCCGGCCCCTCTGCCCGTGGTGAGGGAGGGAGTGTTCAGGCCCAGCCGTGTTGCCGGCGTGTCCAGCTGTGCCGCGGGCTGGCCTGCTGGGGAGCCTGGGTCCTCCTCCTGACCCGCGCCCCCGCCCCTCCTGCAGGGCCGCCCCGCAGGTGGGGCCAAAGCGTGTAGAGCAGCGCCCGCACACGGGCCAGGGCCGTATGGCGCCTGAGGGTTATGGCATGATTTAAGTTCCGCCCCTTGGCCTTCTCCCATGCCCACCTCCCGGCACCCAGCCGATAGCAGATGGTTCTCTTTCCCCCTCCTCCCCCCCAGGGGCATGTTCCCCTTTTCCTCCCTGGTCCCCTGATGTCTGGGATCCCTGGGTCAGAGACGCCCCCACCTCGACCCCCACCTCGACCCCCTGCAGCTGTGTGCAGGGGGAGTGATTTCTCGGGATTTCTCCCACAGGGTGTGGACACTGTAAGAGCATGAAGCCGGAGTTTGAGAGCGCAGCAAAGGTCCTGCATGGAGCAGACAGCGCAGATGTAAGCTCCCGTAACCGCCCGTGGGGGGCCCTGAGCAGGAGTCCCCATAGCCTGGCCGACCTGAGTAAACACCCCTCTGCAGACAAAGGGGCTTCTCGGGGCGGGGGCTTGGGGGAGACTGGGATCAGGTGCCCGCCCCCCCCAGGTGGCCTCAGCAACCTCCCTCTCCCTTTCCCTCCTTCCTCTCCCCCGCCCCCCACCCCCCGCACTGGGGAACAGCCCTGTCTGAGCCTGGTTGGTGGGGAGGCAGAGCCCCTAGCCCAGGCTTGAGGTCGTGGGGGCGTGGGGGCAGGCGGGCCCCCCCTCGTGCCGGCACGCGTCTGAGGCATCGTGCATGGTTGGCCTCTCCCCCATCCCAGAGCTCTGGTGTCCTTGCAGCTGTCGACGCGACTGCCAACAAGGCGCTGGCAGAAAGGTTCCACATCTCCGAGTACCCGACGCTCAAGTACTTTAAGAACGGGGAGAAAATGTCCGTGCCCGCACTCAGGACCAAGAAGAATTTCATAGACTGGATGCACAAGTGAGTGGATGCCCTGGATTCCGGCCGACGCCAGGCAGCCATCACAGCCTGACACCCCCATCCTAAAGCCACACACGGCGTGTTTGGCCCGGTGCTGCCTTCTGGGAAGCTCTGCCGTCCACCCCGGGGAGCAGGGGGACCTTCATGAGAGCGTCTGAAGGGAGGGCTGCCACTGAGCACGGCACTGCAGGTGGGAGAAGGTGCCCTGGGTGGACTGGGCTGGGGTGACAGTGGCACTTCCACATGGAAATGCCCGAGAAACCCCAGGAGTCGGGTTCCAGGTGAGGGAACGGGTTCAGGGCAGCCTCAGCCGTGGTACACAGACGTGGAGCTGGCAGAACCGGGAGGGCAGGGGGAGGGCAGGATGGAGGGAGGGAGCTTGGAGGGACCAGGGAGGGTGACAGCACCCAGGACGAGCGGAAGAGTGTGGGTGTCAGAGGGGAGCAGGAGCAGCCAAGGCAACTCCAGAACTGGACTTGATGCTGGACCAAGGCCGCATGGGGAGGGGACGGGAGGGGACTGGACAGTTCCGCCCTTATGGCCGCTGCCATCAGCGCATCTCTGCATGCAGTAGCTTCAAGGTGTTGGTTCCTTTACCAACACTGTCGGCTCTTCGTGAGGAGGCCAGGGACTTGCGAGTTGAGTCCCTGATTCCCAGGCGGGTTCGGTGACCCACCTGAGGGCCCCGACTAGTCGCCCGAGTTGGAGCCCAGGCCACCCTGGGCCCTTGCGAAGGCTCAGGCGCAGAGCTGGGGGATGCCGTGGGCCTGCGGGCAGCAGTGAGATGCTTCTGTATCAGGGCACGGAGACAGCCCGGGGGCTGCCCGGCCTGTACCCGGGCTCAGGTGCTCCATGCCTCGTCTGCACGGGTACCCGCAGAGGGAGCTGCATGCCTCTGCTGGTGGTGTGGAGGGGGGTGGGGGTGTTTCTTGTGGCTTGCCAGGGATCATCCTGACAAGGCCGGGACAGAACTGGGCTTGGCGGCAGGCAAGGAGGGACCTTAACCCTTGTAACTGTCTCTCCAGCCTCAGAAACCGAGGCTGTCCATGGAACGTGGTTTCCTCAGGGCATCTCCCCTCAGGACTCCTCCCCCTCCCTCCCACAGCCCCGAGGCCGCGCCCCCGCCCGAGCCCACCTGGGAGGAGCAGCAGACCAGCGTGCTGCATCTGACCAGGGACAACTTCCGGGAGACCCTGAAGAAGAAGAAGCACACCCTGGTCATGTTCTATGCCCCTTGTGAGTATTAGGGCATGCTGGGGGCCGGGGGAGGGGCAGGGGTTGGGGTGCTCCCCAGGACCCAGACCACAGGCTCCCTGGTTCCTTTCCTTCAGGCCCCAGGACTCCTTTCAGCTCTGCCGCAGTCGTGTTTTTTGTTCGCCTTGAAGCTCATGTGCCTCTGGGCAGTGACACCCCCTGTACCCCTGGATTCTTCCTTTCTGACCTCTCTGACCACTTCCTTCCTTCCTGGGCTTCTTCCTCCCCCGGGCATTGGCTGCTCCAGCAAACCCTCAGCCACTTGGATTTTTTTTTTTTTTTTTTTTTTTGCTTTTGGGTCATACCCAGCGATGCACGGGAGTTACTCCCGGCTCATTGCACTCAGGAATTACTCCTGGTGGTGCTCAAGGGACCATATGGGATGCTGGGAATTGAACCTGGATTGGCCGCATGCAAGGCAGATGCCCTACCCGCTGTGCTATCGCTCCAGCCCCAGCCACTTGGATATTTTGGCCCCTGGTGCCACCCCCTTTCCGGTGCACCCAGCCCCTCTCTGTGACTGACCTTCCCAAGGGGCGCAGTGAGGGGACAGTCACTTCTCCGCCTGTGCCCCCTTAGCCATTTCACTGAAGCGTGCATTGAGGAGGCATCTTCGGGCCCACGTGTGACCTGGGCTCTTATCCCCATTCCCACTTCAGTGGGGCTTTTGGCATTGGGAGCCCCGCCCTCCCCAGCTGGGTGAGTTTCGGGGGACGCCAGTGCTTGCTCTGCTGTGGAGTCATAGCCCCGCGGGCCTGTAGCTAGCCCGCCTTGCTGCCCTCACCAGTCTCCTGGGGGTGGGTGGGTTGGGAAGCCAGGGTCTGTCTCCAGGGCTGAATGGTGCCCCGGCCCAGACAGAGCACGGGGACAGGCCCGCCCTCCTGAGCCTGCTACGGGGTGGTGGGGGTATTCCGTCACAGGCCAGAGGACAGATCCTTTCACAGCGTGCCAGCTTAGAGTCGAGGGACATCTGGGCCCAGGAAAGGAGTCTTGGCCGGTCATTGAGCAGACTCCAAAGCCCTCGAAAGGCTTTTCCAGGACCTTCCCTATCCTTCCTGCCCCCTCCCTACCCTCGCCTGGCAGTCCCGGGCCTCGCCACCCACTCGAGCCGTGCCTTTCACCTCCGAGGCTTTTCCTCGACGCCATGTCTGCGGCCTCTTGTCCCAGTGGACCTCAGCCACCACATCCCGTACCTTCCCCAGTATCGTGCTGGCGGGGGCTTTCATGAGCGACCAGAAGACTCATAAATTCCCAGGGAATTGTGAGGGGGTCTGCTCCCATCCCTCGGGAGCCAGAGCCTTTCTCCCTCCAGGAGTAGCTCTGCCGTGCTGGGGGGTCCCGGGACACAGGGAGAACATGGACCCTGTTAGGCCTTGGGCTCACCGTCCTCCCGAGCATCTGGCACTAACGGCCCCCATACCGCTGTTCCCAGGCCCTGTGGCGGGTCCTCAGGCGAGCTCATCGGTGGACTTGGGGCAGGAGCAACCACGCAAAGGTGGTGTTTGGGTTTTTTTTTTTTTTTCAGTGATCAAAATACTTGCATATGGGGCTGGAGAGATGGCTCAGAGGGCCAAGCACTGTGTGTTCTCCTGAACACAGAGCCCCGGGAAACCGAAAACCAAGCCCAGGCACACTGTGTTCTTTATGATGTTCACTGTATCACTTGGACTCAGGAATGAAGTTTCAGTGCAGAGACATCAGGGGTGTGGACAGAGTAGAGGCAGGTGTAGAGGCGAGTGTAACGAATATTCCAGCCCCTTCCTCAGGCTCCTGCCTCCGCTGCTGTCTCTGCCAAGCTGCGGAGGGTTCAGAGTTGGGGTTTTCTGTGCTGGCCTCAGTCTTGGGGTGCGGAGGGGGCAAGTGTGGTGCCAGAAGAGAAATCGGCTTGTGACGCTGACCCCTTAGAGGCAGCCCGACAGGTGCCCACAGGCCCTGCCCTGCCCTTCTCTGCGGTCTGGGGTGGGCAGGGTGGGGTGAAGGCTAGGCAGCCGAGACCGAGGGGCTTAAAAGTAACAGGAATCAGAATTTGCAGGCGGCCCCCTCTGCCTTAGCTGTTTTCAGTAAGATGCAGTGAGGTTCGGAAGAAGTGGACAGTGACCAGGCTGGGGCAAGAGTACAGCGGGGAGGGCTTGCACTCGACCTGCCCAGGTTTGATTCTCCGCCTCCCGTGTGGTCCCCCAAGCACCACGAGGAGGAACCCCTGAGCACTGCCAGGTGTGGCCCCAAAACAAAGGTGTCTAACAAATGAACAGTGACCCCAGAGGGAGCCCTTGCTTGGGCAGCCTGCTGCTCTTGGGCCCCGCGACTGCTTCTCGAGTCCCTTGGCGTCCACCTCTTTGTACCTAGTGCTTCTCCTGCATTCGAGCTGTTCCTCCCACAGAAGGGGAGGGCAGTGCAGTGTCTTGTCACGGCCACTGGGGCTCGGGCGGGGGTGCTCCTGGCCCCATCTCCGTGCAGAGCAGGCACGCCTGGCCTGATCGGGCTCAGGGTCCAGCTACCTCCACGCCCTCCTTTGCTAAGCCCAGAGCTTAGGGAGGCTTGCAACGCCCACCGTGCGGTCTCTGCCCCGCCCCCCCTTTGGCTGGTAAGGGGCACACATGGGGGTAGGGTGTGGACAGGCCACCTCCAGAGGCCACAGCTCCCAGGATGGCCCAGGCCGCTGGTGTGAGTGGCAGGGGGACAGACCCCCCCACTCGCCTGAGGGAGAAGTCCAGGAGGGGCGCCGGACCTTGCTCTCGCTCTCCCGCAGGGTGCCCGCACTGCAAGAAGGTCATCCCCATCTTCACAGCCACTGCCGAGGGCTTCAGAGACGACCGGAAGGTAAGGCCCTCCCCGCCCTGCCATCCGCCTCCTCCCCGGTGCAGACCTTGGCCAGGAGAACACTGTCTGGGTGGGCACACCAGGATGGTGTGCATGCCACGCTGCACGCGCCCGTGTCGTACGCATGTGCGTGGTGTGTGTGTGCGCCTGCTGTGTGCTTGCTGAGTTGTGCATGTGCCGGGAGCATGCCTTGCTGTGCACGTGCCTGTGCATGCTTGTGCCTTGTGTGTGCCATGAGCGTGCCTGCTGTGCATGTGTGCCATGTATGTGCCCCTGCATGTGTGCCTGTGTGTGCACATGTGTGCATGTGTGTGCCTTGCGTGTGCTGTGAGCATGCCTGCTGTGTGTGTGCCATGCATGTGCCCCTTCATGTGTGCACCTGTGTGCTTTGTGTGTGTGTGTGCCTGCTGTGCGTGTGCCTTGTGTGTGCTGTGAGCATGCATGTGTGCTGTGTGTATGCCATGTGTGTGTCCTTTCATCTGTGCACCTGTGTGCACCTGTGTGTGTGCCTGCTGTGCGTGTGCCTTGTATGTGCCATGAGCATGCCTGCTGTGTGTGTGGCATGCATGTGCCCTGCATGTGTGCGTGTGTCTGTGCTTGCGTGTATGTGCCTATGCATGCGTGTGCCTCATATGTGTTGTGAGCATGCCTGCGGTGCATGTGTGCCGTGTGTGCCCCTGCATGTGTGCACGGGTGTGCCTGTGCGTGCGTCTGCTTGCCAGGCGTGTGCCTCACATGTGCCGTGAGCGTATGGGACCATGAGGCCCATGGCAGATGGGTCGCCAGCATTTTCTTTCCGTGCTTCAGCCTTTTCCCGGGAGGGTCTGTAGCCATGCTCTAGTCTCATCGTAAAAATATTAATGCAGGGGGCTGGAGTGATAGCACAGCGGGTAGGGCATTTGCCTTGCATGCGGCCAACCCGGGTTTGATTCCCAGCATCCCATATGGTCCCCCGAGCACCGCCAGGGGTGATTCCTGGGTACATGAGCAACCCAGGAGTAACCCCTGTGCACTGCTGGGTGCGACCCAAAAAAGAGGAAAAAAAAATACTAATGCAGCTCGCAGCACAGCCTAAGGAGGAGCGCGGCAGTGCTTGCAGCCGTGTGAGGGCCTCCAGCGCCTGCTGCGGAGGCCTGAAATGAACCGAACCATGCTGATCCAAGCAGAAAGCAGCCCGGGCTGATGGGCTGCCCTGAAGGGTCACAGCAAGAGGAGCCCCACCTCTCGTCTCCCCCCAACCAAGCCCCTCCGTGCACCGCTGCCGGCACGGTGGGTGTCAGTGTGTGGAACCCGTCCTCCCAGTGCCAAGGCCGATGGGGGCGCCCTTACACCAGAACCCCTGCCCCCCTGCCCGGGCTCCACCCACATGGCCCTGGGCAGCTCTTGGGGGTGGCCCCACACTGGACCCGCTTCCATGGCCGCAGTCTCACGCCTCTGCTCGGGCTGTGCTCCTGGGGTCCTAGAGCTGCCCTGTGAGGCGGCAGAGGTGCACCTGTGTTAGGGGTGCATGGGTGCTGGGGGCACCCTCCAAACACTTGGGGGGGGAGTTGTGATTCTAGGAATTTGTGATTTGATTTTGCTCTTGGGGAATCTCCCAAGCAGTTCTCAGTGGGCCAGGGGCCACCCGGTGGACACTCAGGCCAGCAGTGCAGGGGTCACAGGGTGGCCCTCAGGACCATGAGGGGAGTGGACATGCTGGGAACTGTCCCCCAGGTCCCCATACCCCTGTAGCTCCCTGAGCTCTTATTTCTGTTCTTGGGGGGGTGCCCAGCAATTTGATTTGTTTCTGTTCTTTGTGTGTGTGTGTGGGGGGGGGGAGTTTGGCCACACCTGGTAGTACATGGAAGGTGCAGCCCTGGGGGTGGAACCCAAGGCCCCTGCTAGCCCTTGGGGTTTCTTCCCGCTGGGACTGTGCTTTTCATGATCAGAGCTCGTACAAGCCCCGTGGAGGCAGGCCTGGGAGCTCTCCTCCCCCAGGGGCCAAGAGAGCTGTGTGCCTTCCTCAGGGATGCCCAGTGGGTCGCAGGGCCCAGAACTGTCCCTCCTGACCGCCCTGCTGCCACATCTCAGCCCCATGAGAAGCCGGTCATTGTTCCTTCCCCAGTCAATGTGCAATTGGTTGTTCGCTTCTATTTCTGTCGCCAATGTCAATATTAGCTCCTGCAGAGATTTATTTTACTGGATCAATAGAGCCGCAGGAAGCCGCCCCTGTTTTGGCTCCATGCATTCACGGTTGGCTTGGCAAACTGGGTGGGCAGAGACTGCACACTGTCCAGTGGGCATGGAGGGGCATGGGGACAAGGACCACGTGGGAGGCTGGGGGCGCAGGCAGGGGCCAGGGGGCCTAGGGGCTGCAAAGTGGGCCATGCCTCACTGTATGTAAAGGGGTGTGGCGGGGGACTGGGCTTTATCCAGGCAGAGTGGTTGACTTGAGGAGGAGCCTGAGGCAGCGGGCGCCCCCCAGGCCTCTGTAGCCTCTCTCGTGAGGTCACTTATCTCTGTAGACTGTCCACAGAAGGGAGAGTCCTTCGGCGCAGCAACCTCATTTGCCCTTGACCCCCGAGACCTGTCAGTGGTGACCAACAAACTGGATATTTTCTGGGACCTTCTCCCTCACTAAGACTTGGGGAAATAAGATGTCCTTCTGCCCCATCACCTGATTAGCCCAGGGCTGTGACTCCCACTGCACAGATGAGGACGTTGAGTCTCAGGCTTAGGTCCTAGCTTCACACAACTGTGTGTTGCAGACACACAAAAAAATGTTTAAAAAAAAATAAGTATTTTAAGGGGACTGGAGAGAGAGCTAGTCCAGCAGATAGAGCGCTTGTCTTGCACACAGCTGAATCGGGTCCCGTCCCCTTCCCCCCTCAGGATGCCCTGAGCCCTACCTGGAGTGACCCCTGAGTGCAGAGCTCGAAGTAAGCCCCAAGGCACCACCAGGTGTGACCCCCAAGACAAATTGTGTCAAAATAATTTAAATTATGTCATTAATGTTTTATTGCAGTACCTGTTATATACTTAGGGTCATAGAAGATTACTCAGGTGGAAAGGATTGCACGTGGAAAAGTTTTAAGAAGTGCTTGTTTAGGAGGCTGGAGCAATAGCTCAGAGGTAGGGCGTTTGCCTTGCACACGGCCAACCCGGGTTCAATTCCCAGCATCCCATATGGTCCCCTGAGCACCGCCAGGAGTAATTCCTGAGTGCATGAGCCAGGAGTAACCCCTGTGCAACTCCGGGTGTGACCCAAATAAGTAAAAAAAAAAAAATAAGTGCTTGTTTAGATGAGCAGCTAGAAAGAGGCAGCATCACAGAGGAGTCTAATTGAAGGCCCCGAGCTGGAGAGGTCACACAGGGTTAGGGGGCTTGCCTTGCTCAGGGCCAACCCGGGTTCAGTCCCCAGCACCCCATATGGTGCCCAGGCACTGCCAGGAGTGGTCTTGATGGCTGGCCAAGAGTAAGCCCTGAGCACAGGCCCCAGCCTAAAACAGACAAAAAGCATAGGGCCTCTCGGCCATCCCAGAAGCAGCCTCGGGCCGGGTGGAGGGTGGGCTTGTTGGGGGGGGTGGTCTTGGAGGGCAGCCAGAGGGCAGGCAGCAGTGGTCACCCTCAGGGCTCTAGGGCTCCAGAGAAGCCAGGTAAGGGGCCCGAGCTGAGCGGAAGGCACGTGCTGTGAGGAGGCAAGCTGGACACTCAGTGTGCTGCGGTCAGCCAGTGCGGGCCTGAGTGCGTGCTGGGCATGTGTGTGAGAGGGATCCGCCAGGAGGCACATCTGCGTCCCCCTCTGCCAGAAGCTGTGCGAGCACTGTCTGGAGAGCACATCCCGTGCTTGGGTCCTGTAGGGCCTCGTGTGCGGGCAGCGGACAGAGCCTTCCGCTTTAAATTTAGTAGATTTATGAAGCTTACACCACCGCTCCCCCGGCCCTGGGGCATATACACAGATTAAATTCATCACTTCTGCCTCAGCTCCTCCTGCCCCTGGCGCGTGTGCAGCCGCTTCCGAGGGTCCCCAGGGCCGCGTCCCTCCACTCAGCCGGAAAAGGAACCCTGGGGACTGCAGGGAAGCATCTGCCACTGCTCTTCTCTGGCTCATTCACAAAGTGCTGTAGAGGGCAGAGTAGCTGCTCCCAGCAGCCCACACCGCCCGCCCAGGAGTCCTGCGCTCCGAGCGGACGCCCCCCACAGTCGCCCTGAGCCTGCCCGCAGGCGCTGGGGGGGGGGGGGGGGGTGTTACCACAGGAACGCAGGGCCAGCGCTGTCAAAATCGGCTTTTAACCGAGAAGCTGCCACGCCAAGCTCTGACAGAACATCTCCTGGCTCTTTTTCCAGGCTGGCAGCTAGTTCGGATTTCGTTTTTAAAAATATGTTACGTGGGCCAAATAGAACAGGACTGCGAGCCAGAGAGGCCGCGTGCAGTTTGCAAACTCTTGGCCTAAACTTCTCATTCTCTAAGCCAGTTTCCCCAGTAGATGCATCGCCCCACCCACCCACCCAACCCCCGCCGGGGGTGCTGAAGGGAAGTGGAGGGGGCAGGGGGCAGGGGCCAGAAGGCGAGGGTGCAGCTGGGGACTCTTTTCTGTTTGCAGTTAAAGGAGGTCGATTTCAGGGGGAGGAAGGGGAGCGCTGAGTGATTTTTTTTTTCATTTTTCATGCCTTCAGCAGGCAGTCAGGGCCAGCCGCTGCCGTGGACTCCGTGGCCTGTGGCACTCTCCTCCCACAAGGCCCAGCGGCTGGAGCTGCGAGTCCTGGTGATGGAATCATTGAGCCTGTGTCCTTCAGGGCCTCGGCCCTCAGAGGGACGTCCTTCCTGTGAGGGGCTCTGGAGGCAGCTACTGCTTCTGTCCTGGCTCTCCTCTCACCTGCGGGCTCCCCATCACTTGGGTCTCAGAGCACGTGCTCCCTCTGTGGAAAGGCCTCCTGGAGGCTTCCCCATGCCGCCCTCCACCAGTGTCCGCTGGAGAGCAGACAGGCCGCCCGGGACCCCCTCCTAGTGACCTGTCCCGGCCCCTCCTCCCTTACCCCGTGTGTGGCTGCAGCTAGGAGAGCAGAGGGATTGAGCCAGCAGCCAATTTGGGAGCATCTTCCTGGCCCACCCTCCTCTCGCCTGGCCCACGGCACTACCCCACCCCCCACCTCCTCCTCCTGACAGTACCACTCGCCCGGGTCTCTTGCACCTGGGACCACCTCCGTCCCCTCCTGCATGCCAGCTCCCTGATCTGACAGCTGAGCCTGGGACGAGGGCAGAGGCAGCTGCGTGTACTGCCCGCTGCCCGCCAGGCTCTGTGCCAGTTTTCCGGGCCGAGTTCTCTCGCTCCAGAGCCTGCTAACCGAGGCGTAGGCATCAGTCCCTTAGAGATGAGGAGACGGTGGCTCATGCAGCACAGCCCGTTTCTCCGTCTGTGCCCTGCACCCGGGAGCATGACGTCAGGGCTCCTGGCGCACAAGCCCCCTTAGCCCTGCACGCAATCCTGGTGCGTGACTGCCACACGGGACACAAGACCCACAGCACCAACTTGGTCGTTCCTGATGTGGTCGCTGCTCTGTCGGTTGTCAGGGCCGACCCCAGGGTGCCAGGCAGAGCCCCCACCTCACCCCTGCCCTGCCCCATTGCCTTGAAAACCAAAGGCTGGCACCTCCGTCTGGAGCACGGCCCGAGCCTGGAGGTAGCAGGCATGCTCAGCCGCTGCTGGGCGCAAGGACGCGGGAGAGAGTGGCTGTGGGCCGCTGGCCCAGGGTCCAGCCCCCAGGCCGGCTGGCCACGCTCACCGCCCGTCTGCCCACAGATCGCCTGTGCTGCAGTTGACTGTGTCCAGGGGAAGAACCAGGAGCTGTGCCAGCAGGAAGCCATCAAAGGCTACCCCACGTTCCACCACTACCACTATGGGAAGTTGGCAGAGAAGTACGACGGCGAGCGCACGGTGAGCTCGGGGGCCAGGGCGGGCAGTGGGTGGTGCTGGCTGCTGCCCCCACGGTCCTATGCACACACCCCCACGCCCCATGGAGACCTGACCAGATCTGGAGCGCAGAGAAGAGAGCTCAGTTCCGTAGGGGGTTAAAGGGCCTGTTCTCTTTCTCTTCTCCCCTCCAGGAACTGGGGTTCACCAACTTTATCCGAGGCCTCCGGGAGGGAGATCACGACAGACTCGGGAAGAGGAAGGAGGAGCTGTGATTTCTGCCTCAGAGAGCGTTTCCATTACACTGTGAATGAATGATGCCTGTTGTTCTTTCCGAATTTCCACATGTTCTGAATACAAAGTTTTTTATAGCCACTGATGGCCTGTTTTGTACAATTTTGAAATAAAATTAAACCAATTGTTTGATGGAGTGGGTTATTTCCACAGAGCTGGACGCTGGTGTCTTCCCTCATGCCACGCCGTCCTGCGGGAGGGGACTGTCAGGGTCTCGCCGCAAGGACGAGGCTACAGGTGGCGGCTGAGGAGGGGACACAGGGAACCGACGGTCACCTGAGGGCAGATGGCAGGTCAGACTACCGAAGAGCCCCGGGAACTGATCCTCTGTGAGGAGTGAGGCATGAAGAGGGTGGTGAAGACCGAGGCTGAAGCAGGGGGCTGGCCTCCCCTCACCCCCTGCAGCCTCTGGGGCCTTTCAGCTGGGTTGGACTCATTTCCCCCAGTGCTCTTTCTCAGACAACTCATAGCCTCCTCTCCCTCTGCAGGGCCTGCTCTCCCTAAGGAAGCTCAGTGCAGGTTGGAGAGAGAGTACAAGGGTTTAGGCCCTCATCTTACATGCAGCAAACCGGCACCACATTTGGCCCTTTGAGCACTGCCAGGAGCTATCCCTGAGCACAGAGCTGAGAGTGAGCCCTGAGTACCATTAGGTGTGGCCCCCAATTTTTTTTTTAAAAAAAGCAGCTCACTTCAGGGATGGGGTCTCCTAGCATGAAGTGAGAGGGGGTCGTCACGGGCTGAGAGGGGGCCTGCGTGGGACTTCCTGGTGTATCAGCTAGTGTGAGAGGTCTCAGGGTGTATGCTCAGAGAACACAGGTAGCAGAGAGGAGAGCTGGGCGAGGCAGCCCACCTTCCCCATAGCAGTGATCAAGCCCTCCTGCGGTTACAGCAGACAGCTGGCCGACGGCTAGGAGTAGTAGCACACTCTCACCAGATGCCCTAACAGCCTTGCCACTCCACGGGGCCCAACAGCAGCCTCCACGGGACAGAACCCCAACTCGTGTCCCCACCCCTTGGCTGTTCTGTGACTATTTGGTCACTTCTTATGTAATGAGAACTTGAAAGCCCATCATTCCGATTGGTTTCAATCAGATTCTATAAAATGACCAGTCAGAGGTCTTGATTTTCTGGCCCCTCCGTCCTCACTGGATCCTAATGGTAATGTGTTTTTTCAGGGGCGGCTTCCCCCCCCCCCCCACACACACACTTACCTCTGGCCTCTGTACCAGCGCTTTCCTGATCATCTTTCCCCAGGCCCTTTCTTTCACCTCCCTGTGGGGCCGCCTCCCTGTGCCCAGCTTGGCTGCTAGAGACCATGCCCCCATGAAGCCAAGCCCTCTCAGCGGCTGCATGGCAAGCCCGGTCTCACCCACTGCTAAGTCGGTTTGGAGCACCAGCCTTGCCTTGAGTTACTGGGGTAGAAGGAACTGGGCTTTCTCTCCGAGGGCCCACAGCCTGACCCGGGTTCTGTGGGAGTACGTGGAAGCATCTGGAGACATCTGTGGGTACTGTTTTCATTTTATGTTAGGTGAGGTCCCTCCTGGCGAGCCTCAGTCTTAACCCTGGACTCGCTCTCTCCAGTTCCTCTTTTCATTTCTTTATCATTTCCTTAAGGCACAGCAGTTTCTAATGGGGTCCAATTCATCTATTTTGTTGTTGTTGTTACCTCAACTTTTGACATTATACCCAGCCAAGACCAATGTCCAAAGATTCCCCCTATGCTTTCTTCTAAGAGTCATATACATTTAGCTCTTTAATTAATGGTTTGAATCCACTTTAAAAGAAAATGTGGAGCTGGAGTGATAATAGCACAGCGGGTAGGGCATTTGCCTTGCATGCGGCCAACCCAGGTTTGAATCCCAGCTTCCCATATGGTCCCCTGAGCACCGCCAGGAGTAATTACTGAGTGCATAGCCAGGAGTAACCCCTGAGCATCACCAGGTGTGACCCAAAAAGCAAAAAAGAAAAAGAAAATGTATGTGTGTGTGTTTTAAGGCAGGACCCAGTTTCCTTGTTTCAGCACCTTTTCTCACTGACGTCCTCTTCGAAAGAAGGTTTTTTGAAGGACTTTTATTCTACTCTAATAATCCCATGTATTTGCTTTTATGCCAATACCACACCATTTTGATCATTAGCACAGCAGGTCGGGTGTTTGCCTTGCACACAGCCAACCCCCGTTTGATTGCTCTGTCCCTCTCGGAGAGCCCGGCAAGCTACTGAGAGTATCCCGCCTGCACGGCAGAGCCTGGCAAGATCTCTGTGGCATATTTGATACGCCAAAACCAGTAACAACAAGTCTCACAATGGAAACATTACTGGTGCCCGCTCGAGCAAATCAATGAACAACAGAAGGGCAGTGCTATAGTGCTACAGATTTGTGTTAAGTTTTGAAATCTTGAAGTATGAGTTTTTCTATTTTATTCTCTTTTTGTTTTAACATTTCTTGGGTGCTCAGAAAGATAGTATGGGGTTTCAAATGCTGACCTTGCAGGCCGTTGACCATGGTTTGATTCCTGGAATCTCCTATGGTTCCCTGAGCACCACCAGGAATGATCCCTGAGCACAGGAGTAAATTCTGAGCACTGAGCAATGCTGACCATGGTCCCAAACAATCGATAGCTTCAGAGTTCCAGGGTTCTTTAGAATTCCACATGTCTGTGCTGTTTATCTCCACTTGACATAATGCAACATTCCATACCACACAGATTTCTCTCGTGCTGCCCCTTTGTGCGCACACACATTCTACGCCCCCCCCACACACACACATCGCTGATCTCTGGTTGCCACTAACGTGTCTCCATGGCTGTAACGTGGGAGGTGGGGCACATGCAGCAGTACTCAGGGCATCCTCCTGGCTCTGCACTGAGGGATCACTCTGGCGGGGGTTGGAGGACCATATGGGATGCCGAAGATCAAACCTGGGTGGGCCACATGCAAGGCAAGAGTCTCACCTCCGTAGCATCTCCCTGACCCCCATCTCCATAATTTTGCCATTTAGAGAATGTTCTATAAATAGCTTTATCGTACAGCATCTTGAGTTTAGCTTTTGTAACTCTGCTTAAAGTTCTTGATGTCCACCCTCATTTTTGCATGTGTCAGATTTTGATCTGTTTATTGCCAAACAGTAGCTTATGGTACTCTGTACAGAGTTGTTTAACTATTTGCCTATTCAGAAATATGCAGTAGGCTGAGGGCATGCTCAATATGGTCCCCTCAAGCACCTCCTGGAGGGACACTGAGCACAAAACAGGGGGTGATCCCTAAGCACACAAATATATGCCAAAACTAAGATATAAGTAACTACACACACAACACATAGATTTTGTTTGCTTTGCACTGATTGCAAATAGAGCTGCCATTTTTGTAGATGTAAATGTTCTCATCTGCGAGATAGAGACCCACATCTTTGACTATGGGTCTTGTGATTAGTATGTATTTTTAAAGAAAAATTTTAAGAACTTTTTTTCTAGGGCCAGGATATGGCTCAGAGTAAAGTGAGCTATATCCCTTGTAGGCACAGACCTGTGCTTAAAACCCAGCACTACAAATAGAACAGAAAATGAAACTGTTATTCATATTGTCTTGCTGTTTATGTTCTCGTCAGTGATGTGTGAGAGATCCGGTTTCTCGTGTCCCCACCAACATGTGGCATTTTGGATTGTCATTTACTGTTTTTAAAACTTCAGCTGTCCAGTTGGAATGTAGTGTTATCTTGCCATGGTCTTCATGTTCATTTCCTAATGATGGGGAATATTTATTCCTTTGTTTATTGGCCCTTTTTACATGGTCTTCAGTGGAATGTTACTTTAAATATTTGCTGATTTTCTAGCTGGGCTATTCAGCTTTTTTAATGTTTGGTTTTGAAATATACATGTATATGTACATATATATATGCATACACACACACATAGACACACACACGAAGTGGGTAGGTGCATTCCATGCACATGGTAGACCCAGGTTCAATTCCCAGGATCCCATGTGGTCCCCCAAGCCCACAAGGCAGGAGTGATCCCAGTGTGCAGATCCCTGAATAAGTCATGAACACCGTTGGGTGTAACCCCCAAACCAAAAAGAAATAAAAAAAAGAAAAAGAAATGAAACTAAAATTGGAGTAGATTAATGGGACTGAGCTGGAATCCTATGTTCTTCCTTAAATCGAAATAAGTTTGACGTGCTTTTTAAAACATAAGTAAATGTGGGGCAGTAGGACCGTGGGTAAGGGGTTTGCCTTGCACATGGCCAACCTGCAGCCAATTTGCATTCAGCCCCACCAGGAGTGATCTCTGAGTGCAGAGCAGGAGTAATCCCTGAGCACTGCCAGGCCCCAAAACTAAATAACATAAGAAGAAGCATAAATCATTAACAGCACATATTCCTAAGAGCAAAACGGTTTTCTAAGTTATATATGCTCACAAGTACATGCTAACATGCACTCACACACATACAACCAAGCTACATATTGGATGACAAGCACAGTCTTGGAAGGATACTCACCAGAACACGAAAATTATTTCTCTTTGGGTGTCAAGATGGAAAATGAGGTCACCACTATCGATTTATCGAACATCTATTTGCTTCTCAGGTCTCACCAAATATGGGACCTGTATGTTTACACTGTGTCTTTTGTTTTCTTTTTTCGGGTCACACCTGGCGATGCACAGGAGTTACTCCTGGCTCATGCACTCAGGAATTACTCCTGGAAGTGCTCAGGAGATCATATGGGATGCTGGGAATCGAACCCGGGTCGGCCGCGTGCAAGGCAAACGCCCTACCCACTGTGCTATTGCTCCAGCCCCTACACTGTGTCTTTTTATGTAAAGAAAATGTGTATATGTGTATTTGTGTGTCTTCATTTGTATGTATGTGTTCTTTTGTGTTTGCATATGTATATGTATGTGTGCATGTATCTGTGTATATTTGTGCATTTGTGTGTATACCTGTGTTTGTTCATGTTTGCGTGTATGCATGTTTATATATTTCTGTGTGTATTTCTGTGTCTCTTTGCATGTGTATGTGTATGCATTTGCATGTGTATGAGCTGGAGCGATAGCACAGTTGGTCGGGCGTCTGCCTTACACGCAGCCAACCCGGGTTCGATTTCTTCGCCCCTCTCGGAAAGAATGGCA